GAGCTGTTTCTCTATCAGAGCAACCAAGTATTTTTAAGTGATCACTGTGATCGGTTGAGGGCAATGCTGCAACCTGGGCATTTCCATCAGACACTCATCTGGATTTGTCACACTGAACCCACTGCTCATACTTGTTTTGGTGTTAAAATAAAGTGGTAGACTAAAAAAGTGTCTCAGTGGGACACAAAAGTTTCATACCCATATAAAAATCTATAGAATTTTATATTTACATTTACTCTTTGTCCTTTTGCTCTTACCAGCTATACACCAGAGCTTTTCTCAAATGACCACTGTTTGGTGCATAATATGTAGGATAACACATGGGGAAAATATATGAAATATCGTAAAAATGCTGCTTTAAATGCTATTTGATAGCCTTCAGCATCTGGAGTCCTATTTCTATTAAAAGTGAGAGTTTCTGGCCTGTTTTTTTTTGGTTTCCTGTTTGGGGAGGATGGGTCCTTAACCTGGATTGTTCTTCCCTAGTGGACAGATGGACAGAAGGCTACCAAATACAAGAAAAGCATTGCATTTCAAAAAAATTAAAAGTGGGCAAGGTACTTTTCTTGGTATCTGAAGACTGAAGTGTGCTTTTTTTCCTTCCTTTTTATTATTATTTTTTAAATCAAGTGTTCTACTGAATTTAAGGTAGAGTTGTGGTGGTGTTGTCCCTCCTCCCCCCATGAAGTGCCTACAAAGTTGGTTTTGTGTACATTTAGTGCAGGTCAATGCTTTCTCTAGAGGGCTTTCCATCACCTGCTTAAGTTGTAAAGCTATTGGGGTATTGGCCAATTAGATAATACAGCCAGCCAAACCTTTTCTTGTGTGTTTAGTTTAGCTATTACTTTGGATTGATGATGGAAACCTGAGTAGTAGAATGAATATGTTGAAGTCAATCATGCCAAGTCTTTGTTTCTATAGGAACTTTTTTTTTTTTTTCTTTGTATAGAAGTGTTTCTCCTGGGAGCCCATGAAATTATGCTTTTACTGCTGGTAAGTAATGTCAACCGTCTTGAGCCAAAAGTTAATGAAGACCGAAACTGTAAAAACAGAATGTTATTATTCATTCTGAAATGACCAGGAGTTTTAAATACCTTTGTTTCTACAGCAGCCAACGACTAAAATATTCAATTGCACAAGTCTCTGGTGGTCAAGATGGTGAATAGTTTCATTGCCGGAGCTCGTAGTATTCCACCTAACAGCAGGTTCATAAGACAGTTTGCTTTGTCTAGATTAAGTCTGATTTCTCTGAAGCCAGTTATATTTAGTCTTTAGAATAAGTACTGCAAACTTTTAAAGAATTGTGTTTGGCTTAATAGATCTATTTATCTGTGCTGTTCCTGCTGTATTTGCTTTGGTCTTGGAAAAATTATTCCTTGGAGCATATTAAGTCAACTAAAAGAACAGTATACAAAGAGTTTGCTTGTTTGTGGTGCTTTGCTCAAAAGTTTTTCCTCATAAGAGAAGTTTTATTTGCTTCATTCAATAAATGTGGGTGAAGTTCTCACCCATACGCAGATAATACACATGTGAAGAAACATTTGCCCGTGAACCAGACACTTTGGTGGTAAGTCATAAAGATGCAAGTCAGCTTTTTTTTTTTTTTTTTTTTTTTTTCCTGGTGGAACTGAAAGCCAACAAAACTCTGTAACTTGCTACCCTGGGCTCCTAGAACAGGATCTGTGCTGTGGAAATGTGGTTTAACTGGGTAGCATTTTCATACTAGTACTAATTTGAAAGGTGTGCTTCATTTTCAAGTTGTTAATTTCTAGTTAACAGAGTTTTGGCTTTTTTACAAAGGATCTTGGAATAGTTAGGTTACAGGTCTGGTCTGGTAAGGATTGTCCCATGCTCGACCTGTGCCTGTAGAAATTGGTTTAAATTCCATTCCATGACAGTTCCTGACCAGAGCCCTTTCTGTATGGTTAAATCACTTCTCCTTAAGGGGCAACTCGCTTTTGTGTTCCTACAGACCTGTACCAATGAGGAAGGAGGGCATTCAGTGAGCACATTTACCGTATAAACTGTGCTTTAAGTGATGTGAGAAGGAACTAGGTCGTTTGGGTAAGGTTAACACTGAAGGAACCTCTCTGCTTCCAATGCCCATATTCAACCCAGGTCCACTGGGGGTGGTGGTGCTGGAAATCTGTGAGCCGTGCAGTGGGCTACTGCAAAATGAGCTGGTCAGATTCCAAAGACTGGTGGACAGCTGTGCCTGCCGTAAAATTAAGTGCCACAAGTGATGCTAAATTGCCAGAGCCTTAGGAGGGAGACCAAGCATTAAATGGGACATGGCATCGGAGTGATCTCTTCCTCCCTGGGCTGTTCCAGCAGCTCAGAGAAGGGGGCTTAGTGAGGTGCTTTGGGGAAAACGCAAAAACATTGCATGTATCTCTTCTCTGGCTACATAAAAATTGAGGTGTTGGTTCTGTTAAACCATTTTCTTCAATATTAAGTGAATTTCACTTCAAGGAGGAGTTCAATTTGTTAAGAAAGCAGAAGGATTTCATGTTGTATATCCCACAGTTACCCTATGAGAAAGGTTTGTAAGGGGAAGTGTTAGGTATTAGACTGATATATTTGGAGAGTGGGAAATAAATGCGATGTTCAGTGCACACAGCTCAGAATTAAGATCCTTCCTCTCCACACAAACCTTGCTGTGCTTATGTCCTCGCCACACAGGGCCACTGCTATGAAGTAGTAGCTTATAAATGGTCTTCAGTAATGTTGCCAATAATAGCTTTCATATTTTAAGCTACATTTTTAATGGCAGTTACTGTAGTAAATGAGAAGAAAAATGATGTAGCTTGGATAGATTGAATGCACGATGTCTGAAATGCCTGGGAGAAAATACAGAAATAAGGCAGAATTTCCTGTGGATAATGTGTTTACTAAATTAAAACAAATAGGAAACAAACAAACCAACCAACCAAACTTAGAAGGGAGGACTCTTCACAAGATTGCAAAACTAAGGAAGTCAGAAATGCTTTCAGCAAGCCACAGAATCCATTTTCTTATTCTTATATTTCTTTTTCTACTTGGACAGTGTTCAGTCATGGCAGGTACAATTATAGTGTGCCTGTTGGTGCATATTCTTGTCCCATATTTTCTGTTTCCTCCAGTTTCAAGGGATTTTAAACAATACAGAAGGTTACTGCTTGGTTACCGTTACCAAACTCCAATAATATTAACATTTATACCATAGCTATGATAGAAGGACTATTTTCACTGGTCCTTTCATTATTTATTGCACATTTAATTGATAGCAAAATAGCTCTGTCACTACTCTTAAAATATTTTTTGTCTTCCACTTGGTTGGGACATTCAGGGATTTCTAAAATACATTTTTTTTGCACTGATGCTAACTCACATTGTATCTTACAGTTCAATTTTTAATCTTACTGCTTGAAGAAAAACCTGGATATTGTTCTGTGCCAGACTGCTGTGATTCACTGCAAAGGGCTCTAAGAACTGGGAACAATACAAAAAGAAATCTCTGATTTGTTAAATGTTCTCTGGAGCCTGCACCGTTGTTAATCAGCAGAGGCACTAAAGCACAGGTCATACGGTAACTTGAGATCTTGAAGATACTCTCGACTACTCAGATCAAATTGTATCTCGTGGTAGAAATCAGAAGGGAAACCGTACCTATAAAATGCGGTAATTCTTTCCTAATTAGCTACAGGAATGCTAGATTTCTATCGTGGTATACATGAAATAGACAAATACTCTTGCAGTAGTCGTTTCACTTGCACATTTACCTAAAATACCTGGTCAGACTGCCAGGTGACAGAAGTGGCTGCAAATAATAAGGCAAAAATAGGGTTGACTTGAAGCTAGAAGCACCAAGGCTGTATTTTTCTAGGGAAGAATCTGCTTAGATTTGCACAGCGATGGTACTCCCGGGTGATAGATGGGCACCACTGCTTTCCCCCAGTGCTGGGAGAGAGGCGGTAGTGGGGCCGAGAGGAAGGCTGCCATGCCCAGGCACTGCCAGCCTCCCTGGGTCAGGGTCATCCCTGTCCCTTGCACAGAGGTCACCCTCAGAGAGGTTGAGCACGTTTTTGCCGTTAACGGGACAGAAAATAATAGAGGACTATCCAAGCAGACACGTGGAGTGGTGTGCACTCTGTTATGAATGTAACCCCTAGGGGTCAGCTTGAGTTCGAGCATTTTGAAGTAGTATTTAAATCTGCAATAAATCAGTCTTTCCCTTGCACTGCTGGCATAATATGGAGCAAATTTCTCTGTTTTGCCATTTTCAAAAAACCCCAGTGTGGTCACTTTGCTATATTCCATAGCTGCATTGCTAAGTCGAGTAAAACGGAGTGGCATATAGCCTCGTCCAATGTTCCCGTCACCTACTAGCTAGCGTAGCAGCTTACTTTGGAAGCCAAGTTATCGCTCTAGCACTGGATTATCAGCATTTCAGTCTCTGCTGTAACAGGACGGAAGGAGGCTGAACAGACACGTTTCCTTTTCTGTAAAAACATCTCAACCAAAGGCTCAGGGAGATGAACAACTTCATGTCGCATTTGAACTAATCTGTTTTCTGCTTCTCTTGATTATGTGGCATTTTGGAGATAATTACTGAGGATCTCTGGATCTGTTTCCTCAAATTTCTTTATCAGCTGCCACGAAGACTGGGCTATAATAGATCTAGATGCTGTCTGGCTTTGCCAAGGGTCTGAACTGGAGGATTTTTAGTCATTTTTGGTCCTTTTCACTGATGCGTTATGTTCAGTCTTGTATTTCACTGAAAAAAATATTCATGCAAGTTAAAAATTAAAAATCTGAAAAAAGTAATAAATTTATAATTTCTCTAGATTTTCAGTTCTCATAGCTGACACCTACAAAATCTTAGTGGGTGTTTTAGGAACCTGTATCAATAGATATTTTTTTCCACTGAGTTTTTGTTGTTGTTGGCTTGGCTTTGCAACATTTCTGCATTAAAGTACTGTAGTCATTCTCACTGATACAGTTCTTACATGTAACCAAAGACATCTCTGCCTCTATTTTTCAAATTCTTCAAATCTTTGAGGGCATTTGAGAGTGCAACTATTGCTGCTTCCTGCAGTGCTTTTTCTCTTGTCTCTTCATAAGGTCTTGATATCTTAAAGCACATAACATCTTATCTATACCACTAACAAAGCAGTGCAAACCCAAAGATTGCCATCCCTGTGAAAAGCTGATTAAACTTGAACAGCCAAAGGGCTTTCAAATCAACACCATCAAGATAATCATCAATAACATAATAGCTGGGAAATTAAAAAAGCATAAGAGTAAATTTTAGGAAAGAATCTGTTTTCTAGTGGAGATGATATGGCAAGGGGATTTAAAGAAGATCATTTCTGACATAGGAGCTGCATTGCTAACAGCACATAATGCGTCTTACAGGTATGCAAAACAATCAGGTGTCTGTGTGTGCTTTTGTAGGTATTTGCAACTCATTTAATCCCTAGTTTTCCCAGAAGCAGGAATTGGTTGCTGAGGCAAATGCTGTCTACCCAAGAACGCAGCCTGACACAGGGACAGGCTGTGCCTCTGATCTCTGCTGTAATCCACGTCTCTTTCTGCACGATGGTGCATGAGCAAGCTGGTTTTTGGAAGCCCATTGTCTGCACTTCTTACTCAGAGTAAGAGACAGTGGTTATGTATGAGCAGCAGAGGAAAGAGGGAAGTGATGCTGAGGATAGTGGAAAAAGCGTGTTCTCTGATGTTGCATAGACCAGCTGTTGTACAACTCCATGCCGAGGCATCAGAAGGATATCCTGGACAAAACGTTTTTAAAATGAGCCTTTCTAATGCAAGATGTTGGGTTTAGTGGTCCTGACAGGGCATTTTGGCTATCTACTGAAAATAGGCAGCATTACAAGGGCCTGCATTAGCCCACGCTCAAGAAAGTGCCTGATGCCCCGTTCTGGCAAAGGTAGTTTTCAAAGTACCTCAGTTCAATGTGTGACAGCAAGACTGAGCAGAGGCAGATCAGCCACCAAGTTTTTGTTTCTGCTACCTGGATAGCAGCATGTGTGTGCAGAAACTAAATCCATGTTACAGAGAGATTAGAAGAGTCTCTGCAAAGCCATAATGCCATACACAAATGGCCAGCTCAGCTAGAGGGGAGCAGAGACAATTGCTAGTGGACCATCTTTCCAAAACCTGTTGTGTCATGTTTATTTCCCATCTTTTGTTCCATTTATGTGTTACTGCTTGCTCTTTGCAATGCCATCGTTTCAAGACAACAGCTCTTGGATGCTAGCTGCTTGTGTGGTGCCTATTGAACTGATTCTGTTAAAGCCTTGAGCAAGCGTTAGTTATAATTTAGCTTTCTGTAAGAGTTTCAACCATGCTATTTGTGTAGAGTAGAATTTGACATTTTACCGCAATCTCAAAAAATTATGTGGGTAACTCTCCTCCCTCTTTCCCTCTTCCTGACCTGTGGACTCTGCATGGAGAAGGCTGTTTCCAACAGGCATAAACAGTTAGGAAGGATGTGTTATTTGGGTGTGGGTCATATAGAAAAGTGGAGTCTTCTGTTCTTCCTTTGAAGCTGCAAATAAAATTATTTCTTCTGCTAAGAAGAAAATGTGCAGCAGACATGTTAAGTGAAACTCCTGATTTTTATTGAAAAATCAAAGCGAGGAGAAAAGATGTGTGGCTCTTTAGCCACATCTGCAAACAGTGAGGAATGAAAGCCTTTACTTCACTCACAGCATATATGTTTTATTCTGTTTCAATTTTAAAATGTGTTTATTGAGTATAGGAGAAAAGAGGAGAAACATATCCAAAAGCTGCATTTTTAATGTTGAGCTTGAAACGCAGGGGAGGTTTAATACGACACTAATGACCACCAGGAGGAGCTCATGACACAGCTTGCAGTGTTAAATCCTTACCCTAAACTTGTAAGAATTTCAAGAAAAACTTGATGTCCCAGCCTGGTGTGGGCAGCCATCCCCTTCAGGCTGTGCATGCTGGCATTTGACACAGAGCTGCAGGAACTGAACCGCATCTGCACAAGGCAAAGCGACGCGACACGGCGGGCAGGTGGGACAATTTGCCACGGGCAGATTTTGGGGGTGAGAGAATGGGGTGGCCCATTATGCTGCGAGCGGCCTCCTCTGTACAGGGAGTCACGGCCGCACGCCCTGCGTCTGAAACCTCTATTTTCCCTTCATAAAACCAGGGAGCTGGGGTGGAATAAAGGCCAGCTGGCAGCCAGAAGGGGGGAGCGCTCACATGGTGCCGTGCTTTTTAACGTTTTCCTAAAGCTCTTTATGGGCCAGTCAGTAACTGCGCTCCGCTGGGTGATGTGAATGCTCTCAGCTGTCCCAGGGCTGCAGAACAAATTTGTAAGTAAAAGACCAGCAGCTTTGTTGTGGAGGAGGTGGCTGATTTCCGAGGGCACAGCCCCTCACCTTGCAGCTGCGAAGTTGCCTTCGTCCAGGACAAAGCAGGACAGAGGCCTCAACGCTGAAACTCCCGAGGAAATTATTTTAACAACTTTCTGCAAAACGTCGTCGTGAATTGAGAAGAACCCACTGCCTGTCACATCTGTTCTGCTCTGCATCTATTTTTGTACTTGCTGAAAAATCCCGTATTTTACAGTGCCTCGAGGCTAACCAGTTCCCATCTCACTGAGGCAAGAGACCAACGTCTGTAACCCAGTGACTGTGGGCACCTTTCTTCTTGCTAAAATAAATTAATACTGAGCAGACAGAGTCCTTTTATCATGGCCGGGTTCTTATCAGACCATCTCCTTTTATATTCCTTCCTTCCCCAGCCATTGTGGAAACAGACATCCTGCCCAAGGCATCAAAACCCACAATCTGCTGCCTCTTCTATGGAGCCTCTGGATTTGTGCCAGTAGCCCCTCGAGATGGTCCCAGATGTGGCTGCCTTTTTCTGTGCTGCCATGAAAATATCCGGTAAAGACAAAGGGCTGCACTCACCACAGTTACCGCTTTGGAGGCCAGCACTTCCTCTGCTGTCAGGGCTGTACAGTGGGAGATGTTAGTCATGATGTACCCCAGGGTAACCACGGCTGGAGTGGCAGGGTCGCAGTCAAAGGGGATGTTCCTGCGATAGAAAAGAGCCCATCCTTTGGCTGCACCTCCCAGCTGTTCCTTGGGTTTGCCTCCAGTTCCCATGAAGCCAGGAGATGTGCATGGGGTGCAGATTCCTTGCACCTAAGTCTTGTGTGAAAGAGAGTTTGGGTTTTGATGCTGCTTTTCACTAGAGAAAGGACTTCAAACGATGTTATATTTATTTCAAAGTGACTTGGACTCGAGGCATTGGCTCTCCTGCTGCTTGTAAAACCAACATGTTCCGACTGACTTTTTTGGGAGAAGTTTGGGGAGAGAGAAAGGCAGTGAAATTACCAAGTCGTGGTTTTGGCTTGGGTTTGTGGTGGCTTCAAGATGCTTCGGAAGGTTTGGTAGTTTTTGGTAGCGATATTGGAAACACTCTGTTACAGACTGTTACTGCAAGCAATTGAAGATGCCTGCGAGGAGTCATGGGGATGAAGCAAATGTACCCTGCTGCCTGGTTTCCTTGGGTCTTCATCCTGTGACCTTTTCCTTTCTTCTTGTAGCCTAGGCCTTCAATGCTGCTTCCCTTCCTTGATACCTGCTGCCTAATTGCTAGGATTCCTCTTGCCCGAGTGCACTTGTCTTCTCTGCCTTCGTAAGCATTCGCTCGTGCAATAAGACATTTGGAAGGGTTTTTTTGCCAGTTCATCAATTTTTAGGCATTGAGGGAGGACAGGTGAGAATCCAATGTGATTTCATGCATGAAGCTGTGCTTTAACACTTAAAAGCTTTACGTCAGTGTCACTGCAAAGAAAAACTTCAAGTGCCGCTCCACTGGGATCCACCTTGCAATCTGTCTGCCTCTAAAACGAGGAGATTGGAGGAAAGTGATGAATTGTTAGCCTTGAAAGTACTTTATTGCTCTGTTAAATTAGGTGAAACCTCTGCTCTGCAACTTATTTTCCTGACAGAAACTAATTTGAGGACATCGATGATGCGCTTGTCCCTTGGATTTCAAGTGTTTCCTGGCACAGTGTTCGTAGAGAAAAGCAGCTCGTCAGCGTTGCAGGTAATGAGGTGGTGCATGTGGGACATCTCCTCACCATGCTGCAGGTAAACCAGGCAGCTTCCCGAGGTCCAGCTCACCTCTCTCCTCAAGGCCATGCAGTAGGCTTGCGTCATGTCGGAGACGCGTGGACGTGTTCGATACGACCTTCATGTTTATTTTTTTTTATTTTTTTATTTTTTTATTTTTTCCAGAAATTAAGAGGTGCATCTCTGTGGCGTCTGTTCTGTTAAATATTGACTTTCTATCAGCGGTGTTAGAGGGGAGGAACCTCCCTGCGAAAATCATCCTGGGGGTATTTGCAGGACAAATGGCCTGAGCACACCTTCAGCTTTTTTTCCCCATCCATTTTAGGTGAACTGGGACAGAGGTGCCTTGTGAAGCATCTCTTCATACGAGGCAGGTGCATTGCTTTAACAAGGTATGGGGGCAGATACCTAATCCTCTATATGCAAGGCTGATAACGCAGAGTACCTTGTCACTGGTGACCTGAGATCCATTTTAAATGACGTCTGCTTTCTCGTTATTACTTTTCAGAAATGTCCTAACCCTGCAGACTGACAGCGGGCTTTCCTGAACAAAACACGCGGTGTCAGCACCAACCAGGAACACAGCCAGAACACAGCGCCCTCTGGAAGCAGGTGTCCTGGAATAAAAGGCCAGAGGGTGGCTTGTAAAGGGTCAGTGAATGATGAAAGAGTCAGTGAAAGAGTCAGTCCAAAGCATGATGAAATCTTTCATGGGAGAGGAAAAAACAAGGACTAAATATGATGGTCCCCAAAAAAACTGGTGATAACACCCAAACAGCTGTGCAGCCAAGAAGGATGTAAGCATACTCAAGCTCTTTGCAAGCACCACGGTACACAAAACCTGCTTATAACAATTATGTATTATAGAATGTATTTATTTATTTATTTATTTATTTTTCACATCAGAAGGAAGACTGTGCCTGGCCTGATGTTTTGAGTAGCGCTGTAAAACGCTGTTAATGCTGTTTCCAGGGTGAAAGCAGCCAGTGCTCCCCAGCTCCTGGTCTTTCCCTGTGCATGTGGTTTGGTCCATGCCCACCGAGCCTTTGAGTCTTCCTGTAACCAAATAGTGTGAAGGGGGCTTAGCATTGATGGCTTAGATGGCTTGGATACTCTGAGCTGAGCTCTGTGTGTAGCATCAGGTGCACTGTGTCCGCGGAGCTGCCAGCTAAGTTGAGTTTTTCTTTGTGCTCTTGTTTTGAAGACGTTAGTACTAAAGGCAAGCATCAGTCTGATAACTCCAAAAACTGAAACCTCTTTATCCCCTAGGAAGGAAAGTAAACTAACTGCAATCTGGCTTCTTTCAGGCTTCTTCTGCTTAAGCCCAGTGTGGGAACTGTACCCTGGCAGGCACGAGGGGTGTGTAGCCCACTGCCCACTTATTCCTGAGCACTTCTGCTGAGACTTTCAGTGAGGAGCTCAAGCACGTGGCTGGTTTTGCTCCATCTTTAATATGATTTTACTCCCCAGACCCCAGCCCAGGAGAGACGTGCTGTTATTGCTCGGTGCCATGAGGTAACGCAGTGCTGCAGACAACAAAAGAAGCTGACTGCAGAGTGGGGACCTCTGCATCTCCGGGTCCCCAGCTTGGCAACCTGGCCATTGGCTCTGGTCCTTCCAGTTCTAGGAAAGAGGCTGACGCTATTGACCCTGAACTATTATTTGCCTACTGTAATACAGGGAAATGAGGGCTAGATGTGAGGATCTGCGGCTTGCTGCCTTTCCCTCTCCTTCCCTGGAAGAGTTTTGCAAGAGCAACTGGGCACCACCAGGATGTCTGTCCCCGTGGCTGGTAGCAACATCCCTGCCCCGAGGGGGCCCTACCCTGCAATACTCCACGCTGTCATCTGCAGGCCTTGCGGGTGGAAACTACATAGCTGGAGCTCCTGATATAGGGGCTATGGAGGAACACCAGATCTCCCTGAATGTGCTTTATGGTTGAGCAGCGAGGGCTGGGTGCACGCTGTGTGTCCCCGCAGACACGCAAGGTACGGCACATCAGCGTGGGGCTGGCTGAAACACATTGCGTGACGCATCTGGCACAGAAACCTTTTCCCAGCTCTTCATGCCAGGCTCTCCTGGACGCAGGGAAAGGTGCGGGCAGCTGTTTGGCAGCCGCAGTCCGCTGACCATCGCCTCCCCCTTCAGTGCCCCAGCGCCTCTCTGGGGCTCGTTAGCACAGATGGGCTGGGCCAGCTGTAAGCAGGGCCAGGCGCAGGGATGGCCAGCATCACTGCTGCTGGAAAGCAAGCAGCCTTGGTGGCTTAGATATCTGATTCTGACCAGGTCCGAGGAGCATTCCCGACACCTGAATAAATCATCCTGGCTCAGCACGCCTTAACCCCAAGCTTTGGCAAGCGCAGAATTGCAAACTGTGGCTAGAGGCCTCGCATCCCTTAAAACCCATCCTTGCGTGGCAGGGGAGGCCCACGGGGCTCAGCGGCACTGTGACAGGGCTTGGCCCCGGCTTTGCTCCTGCTCCTTTTGGAAGTGTTTTTGTGTTTCTCGATGCAGCCCCTCAGCTGGTGCGGATCACGCTGGCTCCAGTGACATGTGGAGACCGTTCCGTGCTTGCATCAATCACAGCATGCCAGTTTATTTTCTTTGTACTTAGCTGTTTTGCAATGCCTTCACAATTCAATTGCTGATATTTTTCATAATTACATTTGAGCAGCTGCATCGGTGTGGAGTGCATGCAGAGGCCCCAAATTTTGCAACACTCTTGCTCGTGCAGGACAGCACTCACGCACCGCTTGCTCCGCAGGGAGGATCCTGCAAGCCAGCCAGCACTGCTGAGAGTGCCAGAGCAGTGATCTGCTGCAGGTAAACACCCTCTTCCTCCTGCCTCACCCGCTGAGTGGTAGTCTCTGTGTTCTCCTTGTCCCTTGTGGCCAGTCTGCTGGGGAAGGGAACATGCAGAGGTCTGAATTCCCAGTGCCTGCTCAGCAAGCACCCCCATGCCCCTTCTCAATGCTCTTCCTAATGGCCTGAATTTGCAGTGTCTGTGCTCACCCTACTCTGCTCTGAGCTTTTTTCTCTGGGATTAATGTTGCTGCTTTGTGGAGATGAAACAAAATGCCCAGAGCAAGCATTTTTGTGGGTTGGTGATAAGCACCTTCCTGAGCAGACTGAGTGCTGAAGGAGCTGTGTGCAGGGGATGGGCTGGGGGTATTCTGGTCAGGACTATTTTAAGGCACCCAGGAGAGGAGGTGACTTTAGGCCTTCACATTCAGGGTGGTGACTCCTTGGTGGTGGCCATAGGGACCCCAAATCCCAAAGGCAGATGTGGCTATGGCCTAGTCCTGCAGTGGAAGGTCTTCTCCTCCTGTCTCCACACATAAGCTGCATCCACAGCGAGCCACAGTGACAGGGGAAAACGCACATGACATTTCTTCCTTTGAGAGACAGTTATTAGAGCTTTGTTGGGCTGCCCTGGCCCCCTGCTCAACTCTGTGTGTGAAGGAAATGTCCTCCTGAGGCTCCCCGCTGCGCTCAGACCTGCCCCTGAAGCAGGAGATGCGGTGACCCCTGCTGCAACATGGGTAATTGCAGCTGGAGCTCCTGCCCCTCCAGCGATGCAGGTCTTTATTCAGCCTGACTGGGGGCTGTAACCCCTGCTGGCTGCGCGTCCTGCCAGCCACCGGCGTGCTGTGTGAAGTGCTGTTTGTATTTCCTTCTATTCCTGCTAACGCTGCCTGCCATGCCTGATGCAATCCTCTGACCAGCAGAGATCACAGAGAGGTTCAAAGTCCAGGATGGAAAAAGGAGGGGGGCAAAAAACACAAATCAAACAACCATCCCTAAAAATAGAGTTTCCAAGGCAGGAGCTTGTTTGGATGTGGAGCTTGTTTGGCGTTTGGATGTGGAGGGGACGTGTGGCAGAGGGAGCACCAGGGATGGGCTGCCTGTGCTGGAGCCTCCACATTTGGGGAGGAACATCCTGTCTCCTGCCTGTAGCTATCTGTGTTTCAGCCATCACAGCCACAGCTGTGCTGAGTCCAGTAGCCTCAGGGAAACCATTAATGGAAAAGTGAGCCTGTGGGACTGGTGGAGCCCCGGTTGTTGGACAGGGATGGTGAGGAGCAGTGCCAAAGTCAGGTGTAAGCATATCTGCACTGGAAGATGCGAGATTCAGCTGCTGCAGGTGTCCGTAGTGGCAGATGACATGGCTATGGGTGACAGCCGTGGTTTGGGAGGTTCGGGGAAGACACTGGGAGAGGCTTCTTCCTAGCGGGGTGGTTCTGGAGCAGGTCACGCATTGATGGAGCAGCTCTTCGTCCTTGGGCGGTTTAAGGCTCAGCTAGACAAGGCCATGGCTGGAAGCAGCCCTGCTTCTCATGGGCGCCCAGAGGTCTGTTCCAGTAGACACTTCTGTGACTGTACTTACTTTAAAATTGAATAAACACAGCCTGATGTTGACTTAACCTTCACAGTGAGCATGTTGATCTAGTTTTATTGACGTGTTCCTTCCCAGAATCTGATTCTCACTTACTTAATACAGGTGAAAATGGGGGGTGGCTTGTACGTTACCTGGAAAGACACGCCAGTTGGGTTTTTGGGTACTTTTCAGTTCCATCCTTTGGGCTGTGGGAAAGCTGGCAGAGGCAGCGCACTTGTCCCTGTGACAACAGCACAAAATACAATCCTGTAGCAAGCTTTGTAGGTGCAGAATTGGAATAAGGCTTTCCTCCTGGCCAGAGGCTTTGCTTGCTTTTTACAGGGCTCTTCTCCCTGTTACCTGGGATGGGCTGTCAGAAACTCTGGCTGTGCATTCCTGTATTGTCTCACAGGGGATGAGGTAGTGGTTGTGGTTGGATGAAACCCTCCTTGTCCCCCTTTCCTCCATCAGAGGCACAGGGAAGGGCGAGCGATTAATCTGAAAGTCTGTGCAGTAAAATATAAATCTCCGCAGCTTGAGAAATGCTGGACGAAAGCCAGAAAGGGTTAACAAGGAAATGTGTTCCCTCCAGCATAATTGTATATTTGGCTTATATTTTAATAAATGAGTAACAGCTGAGCGGAGAGGCCAAAAGAAGAGCGTCCCCCACTACCCCGAGCTGTGCTCGAGGCAGGGCCTGGGCTGTCTGCGTGTCAGGTACTGCGGTGGGGGGGTTAGCCCAGCACGCTGAAGATTAACCACGAATTAGACAGCTACACAGAGAGTGAGGAGCAATCGAGAGTGAGTGGCTAATGCAGGTGTGAAGGCTGTTGTTCCTTTTCTCTTTAATGTTTAAATTTTCTTTTGAATTCCCTTCAGGCAGGAAGAGGAGGAAGAAAGCCAGGCACTGTGGTGGAGCCTTAGGGGAGCGGGAGGCCTGGGGTGATCAATCAGCAGCATTTCAGTGAGATTAAGGGGGGACCCAGGGTAATATATGAGGCAATGTGGAAAGAGGCATTTTATTACAGTCAGCTCTGGAAGGATTCAGTTCCAGATGGCTGAAGTGGGGGTAGATCAGGAACCTCTGTCAGAAGGGGCCCACCATCCAAAAATGTGCAGCATAGCAGCAGCAGTTGAAGGTTTCTTCTGCTCCAAAAGAAAAAAAAATCTCTCCTGGAGAGAGCTGTCTCCATAGCTGGTTAAATCAGTGTGTGCTGGTGGGAAATGCCCTCTTTGTGAGGACAGATGGCGATGAGCGGGGCCATTTTGGCACTTCCCCCCCCATTCAGAAAATGCGTCTTGTTTTTGTGGAACAATTCTAGGAAGGCTTTGGGACCAGTTTGCCGCTCAGAAGCAGATGTGTGGTGTGGCTCTGGATGATGGTGCTGTTGTCATAGCAGTGGTGGGAATATTGGCCTTGACTATCTCTTCCACCGTAGCCCCTCTGCAGGCTGACACCTCCAGGAGGCCGAGCACTGTGCCTGTTCCATGACATGGGGACCCACCTCCTGAGGGAACAGCCTGAAGCTGCTAAAATTGTTTCTGGTAAGTGCCCAGGCAGTGGCTAGCAATCAAGAGCTTTCATAGCTCCCAGCCAGAGTGAGAGGTAAAGCAAAGACCTGGTTCATGGAGGATTTTCTCCCGCAAGAGCCAGGGCTGTTGCCCAGCTCCCTGTCAGAGGCAGAGCAGGCCTCAGACCACAGCACTGATGTAGTGCAACAACCCATCGTGGGGAGGGGGGGGATGTTGTTTTATTTCAGGGTTGTTTTTTGATTTGGAATGGTTAAAAGGAATTCTCGTTTTTGGAAAATTTGGCTGTACTTTGCAACAGCGTTAGACTTCTCTGTTGGATCTCCTCTACTAGAAATGTTTAGATTTATTTTTGTTTGTGTTCTGTCTTACGCAGCTAAGAAAACAGTTTCAAATAGGACAAATTGTCTTGTTCCAGGGAGGAGGTCTCATCTGGAGAGTGAAAACAGCTTGCTACTTGGAGTGCTGTCTACAAAAGAACAAAGCTCTAAGGACCGTTCCCTACGCTGTGCCCCACAAGAGAGATTATTGAGCCAAGATGTTGGCCTCAGGAAGCATCCTACTATGCTAGGCAGTTTCCATGTGAAACATCTTTTTTTTTCCCTAGGATTTTTGTGCCCTAGCACCTGGTCATCTCGGTGCTGGTCCTTTGGGGAAGATGGGCAGGGAGGCAAGTGCCTGGGTTATTTGCTTCTCCTATTTGTAAGGGGAATGGCATTAGTTCATTTCACAGGGATGCTGGAGTACCTTTCCGACAGTCTTTAATAGCTGGTGCTGTGGAAGAAGAGCTGAGCATTGTAATCAGGTGCATGTCAGCCCCATATTTGTGTTTTGCACGTGTCACAGGTGACATGAAAGGAAGAAATGTTAATGAAAGAGCCAATTTTCCTGCACGGCTTTCATGGAAAATGAGTTCTGATGCACAGAACTGTGTTTCGTATGGCAGCTGAATGAAAAATTACAGATACTTAGAAAAGTGAGATGACATCATACGATCTGTACATCTTCTGAAAATAAATCAGAGCCACTATGATTAAAATATATGCACTTGCAATGGATGCTTTGGCAGACTGGTTGTAATAAAGAATTTTAAAATTGGAATAGGTTAAAAAATCAAGTAGGAAGGGGTTCTAAAACCGAGAGGAATTTTTCTTCTTGAAAACCAGACTCATTTTAGTCCAATTTCTAGCTAGAGAATGGAAGTGTGGATTCAACACTTTTAGATTCCCAATTAAGAGATCATCACCACATTATCAGGATGTCAGACACATCACATTCATCAGTCTGTTTTCTAGAAATTTTCACTCTTGTCCAAAGTACAGCTGGAAACGCCTAAATAAAATTAAAAGGGGATAAGTGTCACCCAGGCCAAAAACTGTTTTCCTCTCAAGGCTTAAAGTATTTTCATTAAGAAAAAAAAAGGTGCTAGGACATTTCAGTCTTTTCATAGACAGCTCACAAGACTAAATTTGTGAAACTCTTTAAAAAGAGGACCCACTGGAAATGATCCTTATGCTTACACCTACAGCAATCACCCTGGATTTATTACTACATCTCAGGCTGCAAGCCTGAGCCTGATTTATTAGCTACCGTCCCTTTGGGTTTCTTATCCAGGGCAGTAAAACAGCTGTAGAAAGCTGAAAAGAAGTCGAGCTGCACATCTTGTCTTTTTAGCCTGTTTCTTGTGTTCATTATAGTCTATAAACAAACATCTTTCAGGTCTCCTAAATAGATTTTCTGATCGAGTTCCCAGAACAGACCACCACCAGTCTCATTAAAGCTTATTTATGCTACTTTCATGCATGAATAAAAAAGCTCCCATTCACTGCTGATTTTATTTAGTTAGATCCTGTGCCTTGTAGTGGACATTGAATTGGTGTGACATTTTTTGGCATGGAAAAAGAAAAGTAGTGTGACTGCAGAGAACAGTTTGATGCCTACATCTTTTGCCGTATGAAAAGGAAGGGGTTAACCTGTTCTTGGCTGTATTGTATTGATTGAGGCCCATGCAAAGAAAATACAGCTGTAAATAGTTAGGAGTATTCCCTAGTAGCTGAGATTTTTTTTTTTTTTTTTTGGTAAGTCATTGAACTGGGACTTTGGAGGTACGAACTGTTTCCCAGGGATGCCACCCACTTCCTGCGTGATAGGAGGGAGGTCATTACTTGCTCTAGGTCTCAGCTCCCCGACTGGGAAGGATCCTTTCTCCCTCTGTTCTTTCTAACTTGCTTGTTTGTATGGATAACTTTGCAGCACAGTAACATCTACTCTCTCTGCGTGCTCACGAGGATGGGTCCTTCTCCCGGCTGGGGCCTCTAGACAGCACCACAAATAACAAATACGGTTTCCCCTTTATGTCTGTCTCCTTCATCTCCATCCATGCTGCAGTGTCTGCAAGGTAAGATTAATGGCTTGGAAGAAAAAAAAAGAAATCAGTAAAAACAAAGAACAACTGAGTAAAGGACCAGCAGGTGTGACAAGTTGTGAAATGGGTTTGTTTTTCTCCAGTCCTGCTGGCTGGTGAGCTCACGCAAAGGTATTGCGTTTTGCACGGGAAGGATTTGAGCCTTTACTTTAAGTCAAAGGGTGAACAAAAAGCAGCTTTGTGCATTTACTTTGTGCTAAGCACATTGTGAATATTCTTAGGCACTGCCACAAGGATTAACATCTCTGCATTTTAATGTGCCTTGCGCTGGAATTTAGCTAGAAAGCAGAGCAGGCAGGAACAGGCTCTCCAGGCGGTGCTCTCTGCTAGGTGTCTCTGAAGTGCTATTCAATAGCTTTCTGTTACTCTTTTTCTTCTTATTATTCTTTTTTCTTTTCTTTTTTTTTTTTCTTCTTTTTCCTTTCACTCCTTCAACAGCTTCTGGAACAAATCCCGATAGATTTCACCTTTCTGAAATTTACTGTGCTGGACTGTTTTATCTCCAAATACTCTTGCATGGCAATAGTGTATCTATAAAAAAAAAAAAAAAGATATGTGGACAGAAGTATGGAGTTTGGTATTTACTTTGGATCATTAACCTGGTGTGCAAATTTGACTTGATCTCTCTCTCTCTATTTTTTTTTTTTTTAATTCTCCCCTGCCCTTTGTGGAATTTCAGAGCCCGTGAGGAGACACAGCCTTTTGCTGCCTGGCGATCCCAGCAAGAAATGGGAGGCTGATGGATTGCAAACGCACCTGCATGGTTTAAAACCCAGCCAAACAGATAAGTGCCCTTTTAATTTTCTCACAATAGCGTTTTAGACATACCTGTGCACAAAACACCTCTCTTCACGCTGGTTTTAATTTGGGGAGCTGTCTGTGTGTCACCCTTAAAAATGAATGCTCTTTGTTTCTCTTTTCTGCTGAGAAAAGCCAGATGATAGCAGTGCTTCACACGGGCTGATTAATTAGAGTGAGGTTGCTGCAGCTGAGGGCTCTGGAGGCTGCTGGGGCTCTGGGGAGTGGGGCTGCAGTACCGGGCGATGCTGGTGTGGCCCAGCCCAGCCTGAGGAGCCCTCCGGGACTCATTATTAGGGGTTTAATAACCAGGCTTGGCTGGCTTGATTGAGAAGATGCTTGTGCACTTGGCGCGATCTCAGAGAAAGCTAAAGCTGGTGGAAGGAGAGGGCTTTGTACATGTGCTGCTCATATGTGCACAGAGAAAGCGATAAACCTGCTCCTCCCTGGAGGGGAAATAGCAAGGGAGATGGGACAGAAGCCCTCCGTTATTTTGAGTCTGCACAGTGTGGTATCGTGGGTGAGGGGCAATGGGAAAAGTTCCTGCAGAGCTGTGGGGCATTTGTATCTGTGGGCAGGAAATAGAGCACATCTGGAAAATAACTTCTGGCTTCTTAGATGTGCTACTGCCCGTTCACAAGCACACAGATGCAACTGTTAAATAATGTAAGTAATCTAGAAAATACAGTTCTCGTGTACAGTGTCACTGCAATAGTACACGGCCACGGGGATGGGGCAAGTATTTGCTAAACCCGTGATGTACAGCATGAGAGTAATGCAAAAATCACTGATGCAGTGTGTTGGAGGCCATCTGTGGCAGGTGAGGACAGGACCCAGATGATTCCAGACCCATCTTGTCTGCTCTAGCGGGGTTAATTAGCATTGTAAAATGTCCACCTGGCTGTTAGGCTAACTACAAACATTTGTTACAGCAAATTAGACTGTGCTAACTGATATGAAATTTGCCTTACCTACCTAAATGAGAGTTTCTTGCTGAGGGCATCAGCCCAGAACCAAGAGAAGCTGGAGGCCGATTCCTTGCCTCAAATTGGCCGAGCACAGCCTGTAGCCTGTGTGTCTTGTCTTTTACTGCCTGGAAATGCAGCTTGTAACACTGCCCGTCCCTGCAGGGAAGGGCCACTGAGTAATGGGGAATGAGAGCCGGGGTGATGAAGCAGGAGGTTGCTGCAGCACAAGGGCTGGATCGAGGTCAGCTTCTGAGATCCCTGGAGTGCCCGAAGTTCTCTCTTTTCTCGGAAAAACTCCTCACCCTTGCTGTTGTTACTGAGAAGGGATTTGTATTAATAGTAGAAACAGCATTTCTGATATCAGTGACAGCCCTCTATCTTAGAATACACAGCAATATTTATTCTTGTCTCTTCAGTAATCTGATAGTGAAAAGGCTTGGTGTTTGGCGTTGTATTAAGGAACACAGCTAAAGTGAAGCCTTCACGTTAAGGCTATAGCTGGGGGTTGTTCAGAGATGGATGGTAAATTAAAACAGCTTAAACCATTTGTGTATGTCAACTAACAGGGCTCTTCGCTCCTCCAAAATAAATAAATAAAATTGACCCTCAAGGTCTTGATTATTAGGTGTGCAACGTGAAATGTGTTTTTCTGCTGATGTGCCGATATCAACGTTCACCCAAATTAGTTCCCAATAAATTAACCCCTAACCTGGCTAGTTCCATCCAGGGCTGCAAACCTCTCTTTGGGCATCAAAGTTGCATTTGGAAATCATGTCCTAAAGTGTGGCATGTGAGTTTCTCTGTGCTCCTTGGCGGAAGTGGGAGAAAAAGCTGCCAGTCCCTCTCAGGAGCCGTGCTGATATGAGTGTACTATATGCAGCTGTGGTTTATCTGCTGGTTATAGACAGTGGCTGAGGAGGAATCAACAGATCTTGACAGATTGCTGCAAAAAATCTTGTCCAGGAAAGAAGACCCCCAAATCCCTAACTCTTTCCTTGTCTTACAGGTGAGCCTTGAGGACAGCTGAGAGGCACCATAACTCCTAAATGCATGAGCTTCTTCTGGGATTAGAAGAGCAGCCATGGGGAAAGACAAGAAAAAAGAGGAGGCTGTCTTTCTGAGGAAAAAGATAACTTTGCTGAGGGCTTTCTCGCTTCTCATCGGCAGCATGGTTGGCAGCGGCATCTTTATCTCCCCTAAAGGAGTGCTGAAAAACTCGGGCACTGTGGGCTTCTCCCTGGTGGTCTGGTTTGCCTGCGGGCTCCTCTCAATGTTTGGTGAGTGCAGAGTTGGGGAAGCCTTTGCTTAAGCACCTGGGAGGTGAGGGGAGCCAGCAAAATTGTATTATAAATAGCTGGGAGTGGAATGGACCTAAAATTCCCTGTTCTGAATGTAGCAGAAAAAAATGCTTAGTAAACCTGGGGGTCACCAGGGGCCTTTGCCAGAGTCGGTGGGTGTCTGTCAGAAGGGGTCTGGGTACGACCGCTTCTTCTCAGAGCGAGGAGATGGAGTGGATCAGTTCCTGGTGCCTTTCATTCTTGTTCTTCTGAAAGAATGCAGTTCTTACAGTTACCATGGGTAAAAGCCACAGCTTTTAGTTTCCTTCATTAACTGTATACAAGCACCTTCTTCTCAGAAGTGCTTTAAAGGTGCTGTTAGATGCGCAAGATCTCTCAGCTCTGGGGAGAAATCTGAAGCTTATTTTCAGTGAGTGACTTTAAAGTTCTTCCACTTTTACAACTTGAGGAAAGAAAAAAAAAAAAGGAAATTAAAACAAGAAAGGAGAAATACTCCATGCGGATAAAACACCTTGGCACTGTGACATTTAGAAATTGGGATGTTCAGTTGTTAATCTGGCAACAATCGTGGTTGTTGCTCTTTGCATATGCCTACCAGTATTTCACGTCATGCTGCTGAGCATGGGCTGTGTTACCCTGCATGTGGGATGCAGCTTCTGCATGGCTGTTTGGGGAGTGATATACTTTTGCCTAAGGAAAAATCTTACAGCTTCATGTGAGCAAAGAGTCTCTTTTAACTGAGCAGAGCGATAAGTGATAAGGCATGTGCTGGCCACATAGCCCAGCCTCCACACTGGGAAGGTTTCTCTCTCTCTGTGGCAGCCTTTGGTAGCTTCTTCTGGCCCGACTGCTCTTTGTTGAGTTGCTGCATTTTGTAGCTGGATCTGTTGGTTTTCTCTTCCCTTTTGTCAGCTTGATGACCTTCTGTGATCATTTTTCTGATGCATTTTTTTTTCCAGGATATTTAAATGGCCTGCTTTCTTTTATGCTTTTTTTTTCTTTTTCTTTTTTTTTTTTTTTCCCCTTTAAGTGTGGCTCTGTAGCCTGACTTCAGCAAAGCACTTAAATATAAGCTTTAAGCATGTAAATAAACCCACTGGAATAAATGAGAGGAGGGCTCTGCCTGCATCCAAGACTTTGGACAGGGATTCAGCATAAGTTCACCAGCAGAGAGGCAGGAAAACCCTCACCAGTGGCATGATCTGAATGATTTCCATGGGAGTAGGAGGCACAGGTGGAGGTGTAAAGGTTTCTCTCCATTTGCCTGGAAGTTTTAAAGTCATCTCCTCAGGCTCACCTTGCTGTGCAGTGCCAGGTTCATGATTTCTATCGGTACCAGGTCTCCCTTCTCAGACATGTCCTTCCAGGTCCTCTCTCTGGGGACTTCAAATGAAGATGTGAAGGTGCAAGATAGGGACACAGGAATGTGGTTATGATCAGAGATGTGATCAAAACAGTCAGGACAGCCGCTGGTGGTGAGCTGAGTGCTGCAGCCACCCTGTGAGCACCGTTACACCAAGCTGAGAGGGGAGATGAGAGAACATGAACCTCCAAGACTTTTGTCAAAGGATGTCTCTCTAAGTTTAGTGCAGTGTTTCTCCCACACAGCCTTCCACACAGCTCCCCTGGACAAGTTACATCATTAACCAGGCAACAAAATTTCCTTCCTTCTGACAAAACAGTGACCTTTCTTCTAAACACACTAGAATAAGGAAAAGAGTGGTTCTGCTAAACCCCCCTTTTCTTCCTCTAGTTCACCACTTCTTTTAAACAGACTCTGTCAATTCCTGGAAGTCATACAGAAAAGAGTATCCAAGGGATGATTTACTCAGTTCATTTATACCTGAACTTTTCCAGGTGCCTTGTGTTATGCAGAGCTTGGAACAAGGATCACCAAGTCTGGAGGACATTATATCTACATTTTGGAGACATTAGGGCCTCTACCAAGTTTCTTATTTCTGTGGGCTGAGTTTTTTGCTATCAGGTAAGAGATTTTGTCTGTTTGCCCTTTGCTGGATATTCTGATTTATTTAAAAAAATATTTATTTAATTTGTGGTTCCAGGCAAAAGTCTAAGCAGTTTATAAAGGAAAAAGGGAAAAAATCTGAAAAACTTTTAAAGACTTTCAGTAATAAAAGGAAGAAGACAGACTGAGGAAACAGTTACATGTGTTCAGTGTGATTTGTACTTGAGGAATCTCTCTCTTCTCCCCTGGCAGCTCTGGTATCATCCAAGAACTGTGATATATTTTTGGTGACAGGGAGCAGATGCCAGGTTCATTTCAGATCTTCTCATTCTATTGTGAAACTTCTCACATTCTTCCATGGAAAAAACTTTCTTGCTTAGCCCTGAGTTAAACAATAACTTAGAAAATTGTAAATGACTTTTCTTTCCACCTGAAAAAGGAAAATCCTCCCCTTCCAGCAGCCTGTCCTCCATGTATGTTGGGATGAAGTAGGACACATGAACCATGCTGCTTTGCTCTGTATGATTAATCTCAACTTTTGCTTTCAAGCTAAGAATTAACCTTTTTTGCAGCATGTGCCTTTTAACCCATTTGCTGAGAAAAACCTATGAAAAAGACTCTATGGGATCCACGTTGTGGAGCAGGATTAAGGCTGGGTGGGAAGCTTCCACCCAGCTATTTTTGGTTGTCCGTGGACCAAAATTTGATGCTGTGCTTGGTTCCCCTCGCCAGGCCTGCCAACAGTGCCGTGGTTTCGCTGGCTTTCGGGCGCTACCTGCTGGAGCCTTTTTTTGCCCCCTGTGCAGCCCCTGTTCCTGCCGTGAAGCTCGTCTCTCTCCTGGGGTACTGTAAGTACACCTTTGTGCCACTGCCAGCCTCGGGACCTCTCTGCCCAGGACCTGGGGTGCCTACAGGGCTTTATCTTCTGGGACTGGGGTCCTGTGCTGCCTCCTTGGCCACTCGAAGCTTCCTGCTCCAAGGAGCTGCTCCGGGGCCCCAGCGTTTGCCGAGAAGGGGCAAGGGCATCCCTGTTGTCTAGCTGGAGCCCAGGGTCCTGAGGGGATGGTGCCGAGTACAGGGGTAGAAACTATTCACGTGTAATTGCACAAAGGCTGCTTGGTTTGAGGCCGCAAGGCTTTTGTAGGCCTCACGTGCTGCACCCAGCCATCAAAGCACCCTGCCTGCTCTCTCTCACCCTGAACACCCTCTGTAACATCCCCCGGGCAGGGAGCATTCCCGGATTTATTTATTTTCTTCCCCTGCGTGTGTCGAGCATGGGCTGCAGCGGTGTGTTCTCCTCTCCAGACGCGGTCCTCACCCTCAACTCCTGGAGCGTCTCCTGGAGTGCCCGGCTGCAGACAGCCCTCTCCATCGTCAAGCTGCTGGCGCTCGCGCTCATCATCGTGCCGGGGATGATGCTGCTGGCACAGGGTAGGTGCGTGGCCGACGGAGGGTGCTCGAGGGAGAGGGGCAGTCGGCTTCAAGCTGTGTCACCTCGCTGGGGCTGATGCTCCCGGCTCAGCTCTGCTTTCTTCAAAGTTTTTCTTTGGGATGAACCCACCCAGGGTGAAGCAGGCACCCACCTCTGCTGACGCCTTCCTTCCTGCAGCCAGCCCATTGTCAGCGTGGCTCCAAACCCTTCCAAAGCAGCACAAATGCAAGGGATAGCAGGGACATGTGACAGCATCCCCTGGTGTCCTGAGCCTGTCACAGCTGTGCAAGGAGCCCCCAGCCCCCAGCTGAGCCCTGGTAACTGCATCTCTAACTGTCCTGTGGCTTCAGCTGATGCTTTTAACCTCCTAATGGAGATGGGCAGTAAGGCAGTAAACTGACAATGGACTCATGCAGGATTTCATGTTCACGTGCAGAGGAAAAAGATACAACAAAAACCCTACCACTGGTATCTTCTGGGATTGATACGGGAGTGTTGGCTTTAATCCAAGCCTCAGTCAGTAGAAAAGCCCCTGGCATTCCCACCCAAGGGATGAAGCCCGCTATGGCTTCACACTATTTCCTTCCTCTGCAGAGGGAACAACAGAGGCAGTAGGCTCAACATTTGTGTTTCTTTCTGATGTTTGGAGCTGGCTCCTTTGAACATGCAAAAAACCCCCTCAGGCAGGCAACATTTCTGAAATGAAGGACTGCCCTGCAGCTAGAAATCCTGAGCCATTATTGTTAGGAATGCCTTCAAATGACAATCTGGAGCCCTGGCACCCGTCCTCAGGCAAGAAGGATAAGTGCCGGTGACATCTGGAGAGAGAATCCGTGGAGGGACCCCAGTATGTCAGGTTGTGTTTAATGTGACTCGTGGGGACTCTAAATCACTCATGAATATATTGCAGACAGTAAATTTTTTTGTGTCACATCACTTATCGGCAGTCGTTTTAGAATACAGAAAGATTGCCCCAATAGGCCCACTTCCATTTTCCAGTTTAACTTTTTTTTTAAAGTCCGTTTTCTTTTTGATTTAGTTTTTGTGCTTGTTTTTAAATCAGTTTGCCTTACTCTCCAGCCTTTCTCTATTTTCTTTAGTCACACTCCTGTCCTTTCCTCTGCCACTGCCTTCCCCTTGACTCACATTTCTTAAAGAGACTTTCTGGGCTAGTTTTTCACACCTGGATGCCCAAGTCTCATCTCAGAGCTCCTCGCAGAGGCATCTCTGTGGATGTGGCCTGATTTTCTCCATGTGCTCCGTGTCATTTCATCCTTTTCCTGGAGAGACACAACTGCATGAGTAGTTTGTCACTTTGATATGAAAAGACACTGTGATATGGAAAACCGAACATAGATGTGGAATCTAAACTTTGTGGCACTTGGATTTCAAAATGTTAGAAATATAACTGCTTGTGACTGCCTTCTTCCTTCAAATGAGAGGCCATTAGGTGTTTTTCCTTTTTTTCCTTTTTTTTTTTTTTTTTGAGTTTGATATAGAATATACCTCACAACCAGTATCCTGACTTTGATATTTATGCTGCCTCTAGTTTTTATTATTGCATTTGCTTTGCTCCCTGTGTCCCCAGCTCCCCTCCTGCAGGGCCGTTCCCGTGCTGGCTGCCTCCCCCCTGGTTCCCATGCTCTGCACAGCGTGGGGCCGGGGTCAGCAAGCTGGTGGGGCCGGGGGGAGCGTGGCAAGAGCCGGATTTGCTGCCTCGCTGCCTGCACCACATCAAAAAAAAGAGCGAGCGTCCAGCTGCTGGTGGCGTGGGGAGGAGGGGGTCAACCTGGGGAATTGGTTTGAGGCTGAAAAAAAGGATGGGAGAACTTCGTGTCCCCACAGTCTCCCATGTCCACAGCAGGCACAGTCTGAGGGAGAAACAGACGCTGCCGTGAAGTTTCTCCAGTAGCTGGTCAGGAGATAGATTTATTCTGTCACTGTGTATGCAGCTTGCATGTCAGCACAGCACCACCAATTAAAGCACTGAAACAAATCCAAATGCCTGGCTCCAGGGAAGTCCCAGCCGCTTCTCCCAGGTTTGGGCAGGATGTTAGCCCGTGGGAAGGAAGTCCACCCCTGACGTTTCCCTGCTCTGTATCTGTTGCTTATCTCTTCCGTAGGCCACACCGAAAACTTCCAGGATGCTTTTGACAAGCAGTCGCTGGTCCCGGACAAGCTGCCCTTGGCTTTTTATGCGGGCATGTTCGCCTACTCGGGCTGGTAGGTGTGACGGGAGGGCACCCGGCGGGCGGCACGTTGCGTCGGCTCCTGGCTCGACCTCTCTCCTTGTGTCTCCCCGCTGTGCAGGTTTCAGACCAGCTTTGTGCGGGAGGAGTTGGTCAGACCTGAACGGTAAGGCTGGGAGAAGCTGGTGGCTCTAGTGTGCCAGCCTCTGGGGTACCACTGCTTCCCCTACTGCTGGCAAACAGCATGGGAAGAAATAAGTCTGTGGGCTCACCTAACCAGTGCCAGCTGCAATCTGCAGCAATGCGATGAAAAACAAAAGGGGAACAGCTTGTTCATTGTGGGCCTCTCTTCCCCTTTCTTGTAGAAACATCCCCTTGGCTGTCATTGTGTCTGTGATCACCGTCATTGTGGGGTACATGCTCACCAATGTCTCCTATTACACTGTCCTGGGAACACAAGATGTTCTGGCTTCTCCAGCTGTGGCTGTGGTGAGTCGTCACCCCTACTGATATCTTTCTTTAGTGTGGTCAGCTTCTGCTGAGGGGGTGGTTATGGCAAGGGTCTAGGAGATGGTTTTCCTAATGAAATGCTTTCTTGCTTTGTTATTTCTCTGGATTGTGGGACAACAGTAACTTCTAGTCTTTCCTAAATGATAATGTAAAAAAAGCTGCAGATGACAGTAGAAAAGGCAAGATTTATGAGTTATATTTTACTCATTCAATGGACGAAGTCTTTTTCCTCTTGAATCTGATGTCATCTAGAGATCCCCACGTGTTTCTGCAGTCACGCTTGCTTTTCCCCCAGAGTTTTGTGCAGCGGGCCTGCAGAAGCCTTATCTCAGTGGTCCCGGTCCTTGTTGCGCTGTCCTGCTTTGGAACCATGAATGGAGGAATCCTCACCTTTTCAAGGTCAGATCTCTGAGATGTTAACTTTTTTTTTTTTTTGGCTTACTGACTCAGAGGGAAGCACCAGTAACCTGTGCACCTGTCAATCCTTTTGATGGCACTTTAACCACTCCTGTGGGAAAATCAAGGCCTTTGACTCCCAGTGTGTAAACTACAGGACACCATTGGCTGTCTAAGGGTCTCCCCTTCCTTTTTCTGGCCAGGTCTAAACTATCTCTGGCTGGTCATAAAAACAAGATTATTTTTTTTTAACCTCTCCTCCCGTCCCCTCATTTTAAAGTGAAATGTCAATGTTTCTGGGGAACTATGAGCTTTGTTGACACTGGCAGCTGCTCAGTGAAATGAAGCCATCTTTTGCTGGCTTTGCCCAGCTGCTTTGCTGCAGGGCACAGGGTCCCCCTCTGCTGTGAGAATCTCTGGCCAAAAGCAAGTGCTCCCTGGGGGACTTTCCTTTGAGTTCACTGAAAAGTTATCATGGCCAGACCACTCCCAAAGCAATAGTCAAGGCTCAACTTTGTTCCGTGAAAAAAACATCTTGCCAGCTCCACTGGCTACTGCACTGCGTGTCCTTGTGGGAGCCTTGAAACCAGAGAGGAGGGCAGAGCTCATGGAGAAGTGTGTTGTCCTGTCCCTGGGGAGCCCAGCAAACTCTCTGGGGCCAGCTCCATTTCACAGCTCTGATTGCAAAAGGAAAAATCAGTTGATATGAAAGGGATCTTTCACAGTACAGGAGCTAATGAGTTATGTGATCCGCTACCTTCACGTCCTGCGTTGAATATGGTGGGGAGAATCCCCCCACTTAACTCCTCCAGATAGCAATTTTATTGGAGGGTGGGAAGTCCCTGGAGGTTCTTCACGCCCCTGTCATCCTTCTCTCCCCCTTCCTGGCATCATTAACATAATGACTGCAGAAAGGCCCTATAAACAGTGATGGGGCCTCCCTGGCTGCTGGCCAGCCACACCCCAGCAAAACCACAGAGACAGCAATAAAACCAGTTATATACTCATGCCCCAGCTGCTTTGGGCTCTGTTCCAGCCCAGCTGATGCTCTGGCATAGTTTGTGGATATTAAGTTTATAAAATTGGATGCAATGCCTTCTCCCTAATTGCCCTTTCACGATTCAAAGAAGGGATGGAGGCAAGAAGCTCTTCGCTGTCATTTTGTAGCTGGCCCTGTGTGTAGCTGGCCTCCCTGGAGGACAGTAAGCTATATTGTTCAACAACTGGCCAGAGGCTTGAAAACCCTCTCTTCTTTGAGGAGCTTGTGCTGCATTTATATCTCTATATAGTTTATATATCCATCTATATCTATGCATATATGTTTTATCCCTGGCCTGTTGGGCCCTCCTGGGTGTTAAGCCCAGTCTCCTGTTGGGATGACAGTCACCTTTTGTGAACTCCCCAGCCTCTCTTACAAAGACCTGAGGTCTGTGACCCCTCTACCTCCTACTGCTTTGTTTCTGTTTCCAGCCTGACCTCATTCACGGTCACTCTGGACTTGCCCAAAGATCTCTGCTAATGGGCCACCTGTGGGGACAGTGCCAGCAGTGGGCTCTGTGCTGAGCTAATTGGTGCTTGGACAACTATGCAAAATTAATCTTTGGAGATTTTTTTTTTTCTTTCCAAATCCTCTAAAAAGTGAGGCTGAGCGCAGAACTGTGGCCTTAAAGAACAGATACGTGGGTGGGGTGCATTGTGGCCTCCGGTCAGTCCTGCTATGGATCTCATCATGTCTAGTGTGACTGTGGGGTGCTGATGCATAGGGCTCCCTGTCTTTTTCTAGGACACTGTTTGTGGCTTCCAGGGAAGGGCAGTGGCCTCCTCTCTTCTCCATGATCCACATTCGAAGACATACTCCTCTTCCTGCTGTCATGTTAATGGTAAGGGGATCTGCCTGTCTGACATGCCCTCTTCTTGAAGTCTTGGCTTTCTTGTTTGGTCTGGCAATCTGCAAAGCCTGGAGAAGCTGAGGAGCTTTAAAGGGTATCGAGACACTAAGTGAGCTTCCAAAAAATGAAGAAAGTGGAACACTGGAAATGGCTGTAAATTATTAGGTCCCCTTGTGCAAGTAGTGAGGTCTGAACCCTGCTGTCCCAAAGTCCCTGCCTTATTGCCTTGAACGTGTTCTTTCAAAGTATTGTCCCCACCATCTGCCACAGTTACTGCTTGATGTTTGCTATCATCTCCTCCAGACTTTGGCTAGTTGGAAAACTGAAATTCCCAGGTTCAGTGGAAATCCAGAAAATGAGCATTTGTGGAGAGGCTCTCAGGTTTGGGTTGCAGTTGATCTCCATTGCTCCTTTCTGTAGCACATTGCAATTTTGTATTTGGGGCTTTTGCTGGGAATCTTCGGTCTATGACGGGGTTTTGTAACACGTTCGGTGACCTCAGAAATGTTGGGGCTGTGAAGTAGCTGCCTGTGATTGCAGGGGGGCTAGAGGAGATGATCCATACTAGCTTTCCCAGTCTGAGGACTGCAGTAAGGCATTAATGACTGTATTTCATCTTCACAATGCTCAGTTCCCTTTGGTTACAACCATGGTGTGTATCGGAGATATCTACCATCTAATGAACTTCTTCAGCTTTTCCCGATGGCTCTTCATAGGATTAGCCACCCTTGGGCTCATTGTCCATCGCTGCCGTCACCCGGAGCTGCAGAGCCCGTTCAAGGTAACACATGGCGTGTGTCTGACAGCCAGAGACACACGTGCCAGTTTATTTTTTCTTTTCATTTCTTTTTTTTTTCTTTTCTCTGTCTCTGTATCCACTGCTAAGAATTAGAGCATTGCATGGCTGTGGTTGCCTTTAGGCTCCAAGGGCCCTCAATCCCTTTTGCTCAGTAAGGCATGTGGGGAGCTGCTCAGGTTGGGTGATGTACCCAAATGGCTAGATTCGGTAAATCCTATAAAAACAGTTCTATGTGGTGTCACCATCTGCAGCCAAAGAGGTTGGCAGCCTGCTCCAGGGGACAAGGTATCGTGCTGGGAGCTGGTAGATGTGCAGGTCCCGTGCTCACCTCTTCTGAGCTGCAAGGGGAACCCTTCCTGGATGTGATTTCAGTGGTAGGTAAGTCTCAGCCCTGGCTGAGAAGCAGAAGGCTGTCAGGCTTGGGGGAAAGGGGAATTACCAGAGGAGTCCTGGGGGTAAACTTGACTTACAGGGAATTGTCTCCTGGTGCAGAAATACTGTGCAGCGTAAAGCAGCTTGAGCACAACTCAGGGCCATTACAGACCCTGAGGATGTGCACCGTGTGTGTGTATAACACAAAGCATTTCCTTCAGCCACAGCTAGCAGCAGCTAGTGGATGGTGTGGCCCCTAGAGAAGGACCTGCCCTCCTGCATGGGGAGGTGAAGGGCTCAGTGAGCCTACACCCGTATGTGACTGCTGTGGGATGCTGATTGTGCTAAGCACACAGGTGTGAGGAGCTGCCTGATGCATGCCACATCCAGATGTGTGCACATGTACAGCTCCAGCACGTTTGGGATGCGCTGGACCCGTGGACGTAAGCATCAAGAGGCATTCAAAGTGGCAGAGGGAAGTGGGGAGGCGAAGGAGATTCAATTCCCTGCTCCTCACGGGGCAGCTTGTCCCCTTGTGCCTTTCTCTGGCCTCCAGCTGGGCCCCTCTGGTGGCTGCTGGGGTCTCTGCTCATGGGAAGCAGCCGGTCCCCTGTGTCAGCAGGGGAAGCTGGCGCGGCTTTCGCAGCCCCTGCTGTGCTTGGGACACCTCTCCCACTGCCGGATCATCTGCATTTGGCCGGGGCTGTGCTCATCGTGTGCACAATTTGTTCCCCTCTCTGGTTGCGCCTGCTTGGTGTCTCCAGCCAGTTCCTGTGGAGGAGAGGAGACCTCCAAGGCCACAGGCACTGGGCAGCTGATCAGCAAAAAACTCAGGGGAAAGAAACGCTTTCCACCACTCCCAGGGCTCCTCCCCAAGCCGAGCGAGGCCTGATGCGAAGTTTGGGGTAATTTTTCTTCTTGGTCTTTGCTGGAGACAGTGTGTTTAGCAGAGACCTTGAAGCTTCCCAGCTTGTTGGCTGGCTGTGCTCATGCACTCACCCAGAACCAGATTTTTTAATAAGCTTTAATTTTTTATTTTAAACCAGCCAACCAGCCTGCCTGGGAGAAGCTTATTAGTTGATAGCACTGGTGATATTTTCAGTTTCTGGGAGTGTGCCCCAGTTTGTTTTAGATAGAGGTTTAGGTTTTTAACGTTCCTAAGAACAGATTGAATGAGTGAGGGAAATGCGGGCAGTTTGGTTCTCTTCCTCCCTCCCCCCAGATTTTATGCCCACTTCAAACCCAAAGTACAGTCATCTGCAACAGCGAAGGAGTGAATGTGATGTGTGCATGTGCTGCTCTCCAGTGGTCAGAAATATTTCTTCTTCTGACACTAGCCTGCTTACAGAGAACAAATAATAAAAAAGGCGAGTGGCTGTGCTGGTAATTTTCCCCCACAGCATTTTCAGTTAAAAATGGTAAGAAAACACCAGGAAGAGGAGTGAGCAGCCCCCTCACGCACCTCTCACGCAGATGTGCAGTGTGAATGTACGCACGTAGGAGACCCTGGCAAGGGATGCTCCGGCTGGAAAGGCAGCAGAAGCACGCGAGTTTGGTGGCTGGCTGGGTGCCATCACTAGAGCAACTGATCTCTTTCAGCTCGGCACGGTCAGCATCCAAAATGAGGTCCTCACCCTAGGTGAGATCAGCAGCTCCTTTGTCAGCTATGGTGAGGAGTAACTTGGCTTGCTTGGATCTAGGGACTAAGGGAGTGTTTCACAGCTTATTTGTTACGGTCTTCCAAATTACTCTCTGGATAATACAGATAAGTTGGCTCACCCAACAAGGTGAGGCTGACGTGCTGAGAGCTACTTTGGTCTTTCATCAGGGTGTCATTGAAAATCATGTTCTTGATGCAAGTGCTATGGAGTTGAGTGTCTGGTTTATCCTGTTTCGGTCACTGCAGGTCTCAGGCGAGCTGGAGGCAGCTCAAAATGAGTCACAAGTGTTATGGCCAAAGAACGGCTTATTTCTAAGGGCTTCTGCTCATGGCTTCAGATTTTCCACTAGCAGTTGCCACAGGTGGCAAGCTTAGGGGTGTGTGGACATGCACATGTGCTGTACGTTCACAGAGCAGTGAGGTCTGGTTGACTTCTCCCTGGCTCGGTGTCTTGTTGCAAATGAGGTGAGGTTTATATCACAGAATCACAGAATTTCTAGGTTGGAAGAGACCTCTAGATCATTGAGTCCAACCTCTGACCTCAGTGCACATGAGGTGAGGATTATATCAATGCACATAGAGGAAGGCATGCGCCTCTCAGGGCACACTGGGCTCCCAGGGTGATACAGGTAAACTTTTCTTCAATGCATCCTACTCGTTCACAACTGATTATACCGAAATAGTGCACAGGACAGATATATGACTTTTCTCATCTTCTTTAACATGGGAAAGAGAATACAGTGTGTGCTGGCATGTATGGAGGCTGATCAGTTTTGCCTGAGCATCCCCTGTGTTCTTTTCCCCAGGTCCCCCTCTTCATTCCCGTCTCTTTTACCATCATCTGCCTCTTCACGGTGGCCATGTCTTTCTACTCGGACCCTGTAAACATTAGCATCGGATGCACCATGGTGTTAAGTGGCTTTCCAGTCTACTACCTCGTAATCCACAGGCAAATGTCAAACCGCTGCCGTAGCCTGCTTTGTAAGTATGCACTTGGGTTGCGGTATCCTGGACCCAAGCACGCTTGGGGTAGGGATGTTGGTTTGCTGCCAGTGCTCATCTCTAACACAAATTGCTCCGTGAACAACAGACCTCATGGAACCTCAGTCATGATCTCTGCCACCCCTTCCCTGCCCTTCCTGGGATGCGGCCTCCACGGCCAAAAAGAAGGGGCAGGCTGTGCTGTGGGGGGCTGGCCTGGCTCGTGAATGCACTGATAAACCAGCTTCATGTGTTATTTTAGAAAAGGCAGGGCTAAGATCTACCAACAGGGGGAACCAAGAGGATCACTTTTGCTATCATATCTTTATCATATCTGTGTGATCAGCACCTCTGTCAAATCTGGCTGAAACTGAGCAAAAAGATCAAAAGTGAGTATGGAGAGATTGAGAGTCCTGTAACCCCATGCACAAACACATTTGCTGAAAGGCTGGGGAGAGGACTGATAGGAAAAGATGATGCAGCCTGCAGGCTGCTTGGTGATGGAGCAGCTTGTCTAACAGTACAGATTTGGGCACAGATGTGGGTGTGTAAATGAAAGGTATCTTCTCTCCATGGCACAGATTTACCTTGGGTGTAGCCCTGGTGGCACAAGTACAATGACTTACTCTGAAACAAGAGCCCAGTTCTGATTTTAGTTTATAACTTCAATTGTGAATCTTGATTTCTTTGGATTTGGTGTTGTGCTGAGGTGTACTGGTAACCAGTGAACAGGGGAAAAAAAAAGTATAGTAAGAAAGAAAACAGATACAGTGATCTGCTAATATAAAATGCTACAGCAATCAGTGTTGATGCTCTGATTTTCATCCCCAGTTTAAGATATCCTTCAGATTAAACTTTCTTTGTTTTTCTTCCCTTCAGATTATGTTACGCAGAAGCTGCAGTTACTGCTGGAAGTAGTTCAACAAGAAATCAAGACGTACTGAGGAAACCATCATAACTTAAAGGAGAAGATGAAATCTACTTACTCCATTTCTGATACCTTTGATCCTACAAAAAGCAGGCCACGCTCTTATTCTTTTGATCAGTGCAAATGAGGATGAACCTGAGCCAAAACGTTGATGCAAGCAGTCCTAAGCTTGCCAGTCAGGATCTGGATGAGTGTGTCACATCTGCTTCTGCCCTTTTCTTTTTTAGCAGAACAATCTCGTTCTTTGAAATGAGCTTTCTTTGCCTGCAAAGTGTCTTTGAAGAAAAGATCTTAATTTTGTGGCCCGGCCCAGCCCAGTCCTCAGCAAAATATATACTATTTTTAATTTCCTAACTTGGCAAACAGAGGAAGAGGTCCTACTGCAGAACTACTGAAGAGCCCAGCCACATGGAAGCCAAACACAGGTTTCAAACTGAAGCTTCGTAGTAGTTAAGGGAAATGGTGCTGTGAAGAAGCTTTATAAAGGGAAATGGACGAGGAGAGCAAATTAGAAATAAGGTAGATGAACTGGAAAGTAGGAGGCAGGAGACTAAAACTTCATTCACCAGGAAGAACAAATCATTGACAAAGTGAAGTCAGAATGTTTTGCTTTGATAATTGTATAAGGAAAATAAATTTATTTTGCTTATACAATAATGCTTCAGTTTTGAATTTTGTTTTTCTGAACTGATGTTTCAAATGTACTGACACAGTGAAAAACAACAACAAAAAAATAATCTGAATACCCACAAGAATAGGACAGGGTAAATTCTGATTCCTCACCTGGTACTACTAATGAAGTTGAAAAATTGAGATTTTGGCCCAACTCCAGTGAAACACAATTCTCCTGCAGGAGGACAAGATCACTGATGAGTCTTGGGCAGATTCCTTCATAAGCACATCTTTCGGTGCTGTAAGAAGACATTCAAGACTTCATGTCTGAGCTTTAACTTTAAATCTACAGTCAAATGACTTGCTGAATCGATACATAAATGCTCACGTGAACCATTGCCACCAGAAATGTTTCTGTTGTTGGGTTATTTTGGATTACATTATTAATGTTGCAAAGTTATGTCCAGATAAAAGAGAAATTAACACTTAAGTGATTGGAAATAGTTAATCTTTTCCTAAAAGATCAGAAGTAGCATACAGGGCATCGGCTGATGGCCCCTGAAGAGAGGAAGAGCAGAATGTGAAGCATTTTTAACCTTTTGTATCAAGCATTTATGTACTTAGAAAACTAAGTAGCATTTACAAAACCAATGTAATCTACCAAAACTTGTAAAATGCACTATCAAGATTTGGAAATAAATAATTAGGACTTTTTTTTTAAGCAATTGGGAATTATTATTCTTGTTAAGACCGCTTCTGTTCTTGTGCTAAATCGAGCTGTGAGAGCAATAGCATAGGTGCAAGGCTCATCCTCTCCCTGCCCCATGAATTAATTTACGAGCTGCTGGAAGCTGTCCAACAGGAAATGCAGACTTCCTGGGAAAAGCATCACAACCTAGGAAAGAAGGTACTGCCTTCAAGTGTCGTTTGAAGTGAGGTTTGGAAACAGTTCTGGGTTCCCAAGCAGAGGCTGTGCCCCCTCAGGCCGTGTGTGTGGCTGGGGAACCAATGTCCAGAAGACCTTGCAGAAGAGGGGAGCCCCACCACCCTAAGGTGGCCCGAGTACACCTCCTTACATGCTGGTTTGGGGGATTTTTCTGCATTTGAGGTAGAAGCATGAGGTGCTGTCAGCCTGTTCCTGTGCTGTAAGACCCCTGTGAGCTCGCTGTAGCACCAGTTCTCCTGTGTCAAACCTTAGAGTAATCTGCAATTGCAACAGAGCTGCTTTGTGTCTGCAGATACACACTTAGAAAGGGTGAAACATCATTTTTTCCATCTGTTTCCTTTGAAGAGAAAACGGGAATGAGACTTGAAATTTGTGGGGGGAAGAATAAGTGGGCTGTGGTTTCTTAATGGATGATAAATCATTTGACAAATGTAGGGAAACCACACCTGGGCGCCTCTGCTGACTATGCAGGAAAAGGATCTTATCTTGCAGGGATGTAGAATGTCTGTTCACAGACCTGTCAGATCCTCAAAATGCAGACACGTCTACTACTGCTGTTACATTGACAGCAGGAATCTGAGGTTCAACAGCTACATGGCAGTCACTGCAGTTAAAAGCAATAATAATAAAAAAAAGAAGTTAGAAGGTATCAGTTTACAGTGAGTTCAGGTGTCCAGGTTGTGGCAAGTTGTTTGTTTTAGAGAGGATGCTATACTGTTCCAAGCAGAGCTATGCAAACATTTTCTACCAAGCCAGAATGTTTTTCCTAGAGCTGGTACCTTGTGTCTACTGAAAAGCTTGGCTTCAGTTCAGAAGAGTATTTTACTAGAGAATTCACATATGCAAAAATGAACCTGCAGGATCTGATCTTATAAATCTAATCAGTCAGAGAAGCATAGAAGTTGCACAACTATGGAGATGAGAGACAGATACTATACGGGAGGTGAAAAGCCAGTCAGAAAAGGCTAGATGGGGAAGAATCAAGGTTCAACTTCATAATCACATTTCTGTTTCTTTTTTTATCCTGTGTGTATAAAATGCACTCAGGGTGCAGCCTTTCCAGAAACGAAAACAGAGCTTTATGTTTTGCCACCACTGATCTGGTCTGACTAGATCATCAGGAGATAAAACTGTTCTGGGCAATTCCACTGAATGTAACTCATGTAACTAAACTAAAATAGAATGGTTGCATCTGAGTAGGTTTACGTGGTTAGCATTACTTGAGCTATTATTAAGCTTTATGCTTCAGAGCTCTGCTGGGAAACCCTGTCAATCTTCTGAACTGGAAGGCCAGAGATCAGGTTGGAAAGCTCTTCACCCTCCTTTCATTTCTGCAGGGAAAAGCAGAGAGGAGCTTCGGAGTTCAAAGTAAAGGAATAAAGATTCTCAGGAGACTCCAGAGCTCTGTGTGGTTTAACTCTACCCTGCAGAGCTCTGTGCTTGCTTTGCACTGGCTTGGGTCACTGTGCAATGCTGCCCTCTGAAAACCCCTCTGAATGATGCAGAACCAGCACAGAGCACGTGCTGGGACTTGCACCCCCTTTCTGTGTTGAGATCAGTGTATGTTTTGCAAGGCAATGGTAGCATTGGGCTTCCAAAAACGATGTTCAGCAGAAGCTGCTCCTGACAGGAATCTCGAAAGGAGAAGATCTGGAGTATCGCTGGCTGTTTGAGGAACAGGAGGCATCGGTGCAAGGTAACCACTGGTACGTGACGACAGAAATCCAGCAAGAAAGTTAAGCTATGCTGGCTCATAGGAACGTTGATTTTTATTGATGCATCTGCCAAAACCATTAGCTCCGCCTGGCCGTTCTGCTCATGCCTGGCAGGGGTACATGCAAATGATGTAATAACCTGAAGGAAACGCTGTTCAGCTCCTCTTCCTGGGGGCTGGTGGCTAGTGGAAAAGCATTTGTGACGCCCCGCAGTGAGGCACGGAAGGAAAAGGAGGTACTGGACATACAGCTAGGAGTTCACGTGGGGCTCTAGCAGGCTGGTCATATTTCATTTCCGAAGGTCACGCTGAATGCAGGGGATCTTTCCAACGTGGAGCAAGGGTTCAGAGGCTGGTCCGGTGCACAGGCACGTGGTTGACACACCCAGGGGTGGTGGCTTAGCAGCCTGGTGGCAGGACCGTGAGTAGGGGTCTGAAGGGCTCTGACATCTTTTCTGGGGTGCATCTGAGGTGGGAGAGGGGAGGAAGTCGGTGATTTTACGGTTTGTGGGTTTTGCTTTTTGCTGGAAGGACACCTGCTTGTTATTAGTCAGGCCATACGCTGCGTTTGCCTTCCTCAATTCATCCACCATGAAGGAGGAGGAAGTGTGTAAAGTGGTGTGAGGTTGTCTTTAATGTACGCAAGCTGTTACTGGGGAGAAATGAAAGGAAAATTTACAGGGTATCTCTCCTGCGCAAGAACAGATAGTAACACCTCAGGTAAAGGTGAAGGACACGAGGTGTCTCGATAGTGACATATTTCTGTCTGCTTTATTAAGGGCTTCACCTCTGTTTCTTTCTAGTTGGGGTAAGATGTTGAGTGGAAACAAAACAATACAGAGCAGAAACACTAGAAAGTGAAAGTGAAAGCAGGGCTCAAGTTTATGGTTTCGGAAAGCAGAGGGTGTGACAGCAGAGCAGGAGCTCTGGGTCTGAGCAGGGATTAGCAATAGTGTGTGGAGTAAGGGGAGAGGGAATAGGGATGGGGGGAACAGGGGAGAAAAACTGCTGGAAACCTCATCTGACTTTTCTCAGTCACATCCCACTCATAGTATCCAAAAACTCCCCGTTTCCCTGTCATGGCAGCAACATACTGCTGTGCGGAGGGGAGAGAAAGTGTGGCCGCATTAAAAAAAAAAAAAAAAAAAAAAAAAAGTTAATGGGAGCATTGGGTCTTATGAATCCCCTGCAATGGGATTTGAAAAAAAAGGAATCAGGAGATTGGGAGTGTTTTTCTAGGAACAGGCCTGGCTGGTGTTACCGTGTATAAAGAGCAACCACAGTCTGAAGACAGCAGTGGAACAAGCTAAGGCTACAAAGGAGAGCCGAGTCCTTCCTTCTCTTTGCCCTGGCAGTCCGTGGGGCTGCCAGGCCTTTTTTTTTGTGGACCCTTGCACTGCAACCAACTCCAGAAGTTTTCCTTTGTTTTCCCTGGGTTAGCCTGCTGTGAATACCCATGATCCCTGCCAAAGCACGAAGGGTGTCAGGGCCAGTTATATGAACAACCATTTCCATTTGCACACCGTGTTCATATTTTTCAGGCAGTTGTGAGCAGCTCTACCACAGACCCTTGTAAACTCCGGTGCAGGTAGGTAGGCAGCTCTGTGTGACCTGTGATAAGGTTGCGTTGTAGGGGCAGTGAAGTGATGCATAGACAAATGTCATCTGGACTGGGGTCCAGAACTGGAGGAGGAGAAAGCAAAGTGAAACCCTCTGCATTTGAATTACAGACTCACAGAATCACAGAATTTCTAGGTTGGAAGAGACCTCAAGATCATCGAGTCCAACCTCTGAATTACAGGCAGTCAGCTCTCCTGTCTTTGGAGGTGGCGTACCTCAGGGCAGAGTGCTGGGAGGGGACTTTTCTGGTGAGCAATTTGTTCCTCTTCTGAGGGTTTGCTGAGTACTTGTGGTGGGCTGATCTTGGTAGGCAGCCAGATGCCCACCCTGCTGCTCTCCTGTCCCTCTCTGCAACAGGGAGAAAATAAGATGCCAAAGCTTGTGGGGTAAGATAAAGACAGGAAGATCACCAGATTGCCAGTTACCATCACGAACAAGATGGAATTGACTTGGGGAAAATTAATCTAATTTGTTGATAATTAAAATGGATTCGGAGGAGAAAAACAGACAGAAATCAGAACATCACCTTCCCCCGTCCTTATTCCCAGGCTCACTGTCACTCCTGACTGCTCTGCCTCCTCCCAGGAGGAGCAGGTGGGGCCCAGGCGTGAGGTCCAGCCCTTGGATCTGTCTCTGTCTGTCATGGGGCACCCTCAGCCTTTCCTCACAGAGGCCCTGCAGACCCCTGATGGCACCAGGGCTCCTGTCCTCATGCAGCACCTTTGAGAAGTTGCTTTGTTTTCCTGACCCATGAAGGAGGAGTGGTGCTGTTGGTGCTTTCTGAAGGCACTTGGATTTTGGAATTTGCTAGAAGCCAGGTCTTGCTACTGTTAGCCAGGTGGCACCACTGGTTGTCACTTAACAAGCTGAGGTCATTGTGTAAGTTGTGTTTTCTTCCAAAATATATTTTAGAATTATATTTTTTTTAGAGAAAAACGGTGACCTGGGCCCAAGTCACTGAACTCGGTCATTTTTCTGATGCGTGCCATGCCAAACATACATATCAGTTCCTTGGTTTTGCAATTTCCAGCCCAAGAGGTCTTCTTTTCTGAGATGTGATTAGACTTCTGACCTCATCGGAGATACCTGACCACACATATATTTTGACAGCTTTGGAAAAGACACATATTGATTCTGGATCTTTCTTTCTGTGTTAGGGGTGAGGACGCAGCCAGGCATCAACCAGCTCTTCTTTGCGTGTGGTACCTCGGAATGGAGAACATCTGGTATTGGCTTGATGACTTCGAGTGGATCGAGTATGGGACAGAGGTGAGGTCCTCGGTGTCAATGCCAAGAGCTCTTGTTCAACCATCTTTGGAGAATTGTTTAGGGCATGTTGTTCTGCAGCTGGTGTGGTCTACAAAGCCTTGCTGGTGTCCTTGCAATGCTGCTCTGATACCCTGGTGGATTTGTCTTACTCATTGTCCCTCAAAGCAGTACTGATACTCAGTGAAAGCTTTCAAAAGACTAGCTTTGAAAAACAATTTCATTTTCCAGAGGCAGCAGAAGTAATTTGACTGAAGCTGACCACACAGACTGAATGCTTTTTTCTTGCTGTTGTTATAAGCAGCTGTTCCCTGTGGGGTACCCCTACATCCCTGAAGAACAAAATGCTGGAAGTATTAGAGACTAGTTCCACATGGCATCTCATTGCTGTGGCTTAGGGAAAAAGTGGTATGTCCTTACAGAGTCACCTAAACTGAAGACTAGTTTAACAGTGTAATTTCCTTGTTCTTTCTTTAGCATCCGTATCATTCATCTGCCTCGGTAAATTCTGCAGATCTGGAGCAGGCTTTTCTAGCTGACCCTAAAGGCACTCTGTTATTCTCAGCCGGTTCACAGATATATGAGTTAAACTTTAAAGGTGAAGTATCTCTTTATTTACCGTTCATTACATAGCTGACTCTAAGGTGGCCTCCGTCATGTGGAGTTGTCGCTCTGTCTGGGTTTCTTTGAACATGTCTTTTTTCCTCCAATAAGTTTTCTCCAAGCCGAATTTGCATATTAAGTACATTTCTCTGCAGTTCTGAGATACTCTGCTCAAACTTACAGACTTGTGCATCTGTGGTCAAAAAAGCATCTTTGACAATGCTGTACATTTAGAACAAAAACCGAGAATAAACACCTCATGGCATCTGGCTTATGCATTCAAGTTTACATAACAGAAAAGGAGAAATGAGAAATTAAAAAATAATATTAATATATAAATGTAAGAACTAAAAAGTCAAATGGTGAAGAAGTAAGCTCTGGTAGACATCTTGCAAGATAGTTACGGGGAGAGAAAACAGTGCAGCAAAGGAAAAATTATGGGCTAGTTACACAGGGAGAGAATGGGAAAATAAGAAATGTTTTTCTGTTTCTAATTATTTATAATTTATTTAACCATCTTAAGGTTTCTGCTAGCTTTCCAAACTTTAAATGTTTCCTGGCATGAATAAAAAGAATGGTGTTTAAAGGAGGAAACAATGGATAGTTAGCAATGCCACACTGTGTGTGCTCTGTGATATTGTTGCAGGACCAAAAAGATGTTCCTCAACCCCAGCTAACAACCCCATATTGCCAGAAAAACCAGACTTACGGACTCCATCATATTGAAAATCCTTCCCTGCTGCAGGCCAGACATCAGATGTGGTTTTCTCTGGCCAACAGCCTGGATGTGAATGCATATGGAGGTGCAGTAGTTGATGGTTGCATTTGAGCTTCACAGCCTATACTAGTAGGTTGTTGACCTTGGTGATCTCCAAGGAGAAGCTACCCAAGTGGAAATGGTCTCAAACTAAGAAGTATGGAGTGGGGTGGACATGATAGAAAGAACATCACCTTTCAGCGCTACCTGTTTTATTGTATTTCTTTTCTAAAGGCCCAGTGTGTCCCTGGGCAATAAGTTATCTAATTATTGAGGTTTTGTGTTTTTCTTTCAAGACATGGTCCAAAGAAATTTGGTCTCTGAAACTCGAAGAAAAGTTGTCCGATTACCAAAAGCTCTGTCCCCTCCATTTGGACACAACATGAGGTACTATACACTGATTATTTCATAATGTCTCTGGATGATGCCACCTTTCTACTAAGAAATTCCTCTTACCTCTCTACAATTCAAGTTTAGATTTCTTAAATTCACTTTTAGAAACCTTTTGCTGACTAGTTTAACAGGAAATTTTGCTGTGACAGTATTTGTAAATTATGCAATACTTCTGTGAAGCATGCTTGAGGGATATTTAGTGGCAGTGTCTGGCAGCCTTTACAGACCCATAGAGTAGATTTGTTCCTTCTGTGAGAGTAAGGTCACACAGGGCTGACACAACTGTGCCAGGAATTTTTGTTCCTTGATTTATGCCTTAACAATGCAAAACTGTGCACAGGGTATTACCTCCCAAGAACTGTGGAGCAGATAGATGACATCCCCTGGAAAGCTAAGTATGAAATAAAACAGAAAAAAAAAATATCCCCTAAATGAGGTGACCAGGATGCAATTATTTGGGATAGTCAGTATTTGGCTTTTTTAAAGGAAGTTCAGCATGACAGAATTTGGGCACATTTGCTGTAAAAGTCAGTTGGGCTATTGTTTTATTTTAAAAAAAATAAAAAATTCAGAAACTCACTGTCAGACAGTGCATGAGAAGCCAAGAGTTAAATTTAAGGGTAGGTTCAACCAAAGGTTTAAAGGCAAAACAAACCGAAGTTGCTGAACAGATGCTAACGCTCTGATTGCCTGTGATAAAACATTCATGCCAGGTGGATGGTTGAAGACTTGTGCTGGGAGTTGTTAAGCGCTGACTGCTGCAGTGGTGCATGGGGGCACTGCCGTCCACCCATGGTCTCCTGCCAGACTGTTCCTGGGAACAGGGAGGGACAAGCTGCCCATCTATCTGGTGGTTTACAGATGAGTAGCCACGTGGAGAGTGAGGGCTCATGGTCCAGTTTCCTAGAGGTGCAAGCAGCACACATGGAGGTCTATCTGAGAGCAGTTGTACAAACCAACTGGCTATGAGCATCTGTTACTTCTTGACTGAAGTGCTCCTACCACTGCTTTGGCCTGCCAAGAAATTAATTAGTGCTATTAGAATGTGTATGGACATCTAAACTGGAGAAAGGGGTAACTGTTATGTGGAAGGTAAAACAAACATGAAAATCCCGGGATGCCTGAAGGGTGCTGAAAAGCCAGCTGGATTCTCCAGAAAAGAGGATTTGGTTGGAAGTGTTATGGATTGTGACGTGCTCTTTCTCTTTTTCTCTCTTTCTCTCTCTCTTTCTTTTTTCTTTTTTTTTTTTTTTTTTTTTTTTTTTTTTTTTTTTTTTTTTTTTTTTTTTTTTTTTTTTTTAGCCAGGACACGAATCTATCATTTTCTTCATGCCCTCCAGAATGGGACCAATCAGCAGTGCCTGACATTGGGTACAAGGTATGTATTCTCACCTCTCCAGTGGGTTAAGTGAACTATGTTCTGCACTAATTTTCCTGAGCAGTAAGCTATATAAAACATGACTCTCATCTCCAAAGACCAAGGTGACTGAGGTAGTCTGAGCTTTTAAACATACTTTCTACAATGTGCAACTACGAGGTGAAACAAGACTAACAGTGCCACATTCAGAATAGATCTGTGTCTCCTGGGAGGCTCTCTGAGATCCCACATATATACCATGCAGGCTAAGGGCACTGCTGGTGTAGCCTGTCCCGTGCATTCTTTCCACAGCAGTTAATCCTTTGATAAACTGGATAAATTGCATTTTAAAGGGGATTTTTAGTATTTCCTCAGTCTGTTAAAGGCAAAACGTTATTTGCTGTGGTAAAACTAGGGCTTGGCCCTGTAAGAGAGTATCTAGAAGGATCTAGGGTGTCAAATTAAGGTGAAACTGATACCCACTCTTCTCCACACTGAATACTGCCATGCATTTCAGATCTGGGTTAGTCTGAAGTAAAATTAATCTATATGCATAAGAAGTGTGTCCACCGAAGGCAGTTTGTGTGGTATTACACTCATTTTCCTGTGCATCAGCACCTCAGTGCCTGTGCTTCCAACATGTGGAGGGAGAGTGGTGGTGGGGAAAGGATGGCTAAGTGGAGAGACAGCAGAAGCTCATGATTTTAATGGCAGGGCTTTTCCTTTAGTGCAAGGAGGTTGATGAGTCCTTTGGAAGGGCTGGGAGCTGTTACTACTAGTAACACCTTATTTTTGATGCTTTTAAAATTTTCAGTTGGTAGAGCTCAGTTCCAGTTCCAGCGAATATGTAAAAATTAAGAGGCTGTTTGAGAAAACAATGAAACATTACAACATCTGTCGGCTACAGAGGGTCCAGAACCCATCACTATGGCAAGTTTTTCAGTGGTTAGTATCTGTTTTACTTCATTATTCTCATGGTAGCAGAGCACTGCAATTTCCTGATCTATTGTCCTTGCAGGCTGTGATAGGAGTTGCCAAATGCAGTAGCCCAACAGAATTGAGACTGCCACACTCCCATGTGCCCTGGTCTAGCTGGTAGTGAGGTTCAGAACTTATTTCTAATAGGCACACATGCACAAATACATGCATATATGCACACAGTGCATCTCTATCTCTTGATAGAGATATATCTGAACACAAAAATTAACACAGACAGCACAGCACTCATGCAACCATAAGTAGTGGCAACAATCTCATCCTGTTCCCTTCTGGCTAATCAGAATGAAAGCTTGTTATTGGAAAATACACGTGCACATAGTTATGTATCTAAGTACAGGTAAATACATGTATATATACAGATACATGTATATAGATACATATATATATATATATATATATACATACGTAGTATGTGTCTGTTCAGGATCTGGTCTTAGACACTCAGTTTATGCATGTGAGGGCCCTGAGGTCCTCTCATCTCCAGTTGTGCTCTGCACAGATATACAAATGTGCAAATGGATCTCAGTTGACCCCTGTACTTCGTGTTGCCTTCTGTAGTTGTCCTGAACCTCCTGGTCCCCCTGGTAGGCAAGCTAGACCCTCTGCTCTATCCAATATTTCGCCCAGACTTATGACTGCTCCCATACCCGTGTCCCAGGTCACTTATCCTCCTCACTGACTGTCCAGCTTGATATTCACTAGTGATCACACATTCACACATGCATATCCTTGCTGCAGTTGCTTGTAAGCTGAGGCCCCACTTCAATTGCTGTACACATACCCCCATATGTGCTCCTGCGTATGGTCTGGAGGGTCCATCGCCCAGGATAAGAGTTAGAAATGGAGTTTAATGAAGAGACAGAGAGATAGGCAGACTGCATGGGTCAGGTGCTGGGCCTGGCTACACAAGCCTACTGACCAGTCAGTCACCTGTTTATAAATCACCAGCCCATTTTCCCCTTTTCCATCTGTTTTCCCATGTGTGTTCCTCACTAGGCCACCCTGAACCTTCCCTTTCCTTGCCTCTGTTCCTCCCCTCAAACATCCCTTTATAAATCTTGTACAATCCCCAAATACTTTTCCCCTGCATCCCACAGGGAGTCCCATACCCCCATGGGCAGTACCCACCTCAGCCCATGAGGTGCTCCAGAGTCTCTTCATTGCTTGTGGTGTTGGGTGTCCCCCCTAGCCCCCAGGGCTGAGGCTCCCCTGTGGAGCTCTGAGGGCTGAGCCTTCTTTCTTCCTAATCAGGTTATTGGGGTTCCCCTGCCTGTCTCTGCCTCTGTGTTCCTGTGTGGGTGTGGAAACAAGACTTTTTCTGCAAGACCTAACAGGTTGTATGTGTGGGTCTTGCTTACGTTATCCAAAAAGAAACATGCTTTCCTTCGCTGTGACTGAGTCGTGCCATCTCAAATTTATTCTTTTTATTGCTTAGTCTCTTCTACATGGGAGTTTTAAATAACGGACTTTTTATGTGGTAAAGCTACAGGAAGAGATTCTACAGTCCTTACTGTGGCTTCACACTGTTTGTTTATAACCATATTTATTCATTCATGATTTATATAACCTGGGAACAATTCCCGCTTGAGATGTTTGTCTCTTTACTCTCTAATGTGATATGAAGTTTTGGGTTGCACAGTCCATGATGATTCAAGAACTTTTTGTTTTGCTGTACAGTAAAGTTACCAGCAGAAGGGCAAGGCGGGCAGGAACCCCACCAAGAGCAGTTTGCATCACTGTTCCTCCACAACCCCAAAGTAGGAGGAGCTGGGTTGTGAAATTGTCCTTGTTTGAATCAGGGCAACACGTTATTCATTTTTGTCATCAGGCAAAAGGAGCAGATGAAGAAGCTCAATAAATCAAAATGTGTGGATGAGCGGCTCCTGTTCCATGGGACAAATCCATCCCTTTTGCCAGCCATCTGTGAGCAGAATTTTGACTGGAGGATTTGTGGCGTTAATGGGACGGCGTATGGAAAAGGTACAAGGGCATGGGCTGGACCTGCATTGAAACTCTCAGGGTGTTTCTAGAGCTCAGAGAAGAGCTGAGAAGAAGCCATGCTTCCATTCTGTTATTTGTGAAGTTGCGTAGAGTGAAAGCCATCAGGTCAACCTGTGTGGTCTTACCACGGGCCCAACCCCAGCTGTGGTGGGACTCCAAAGGCAACAGCAGGACCTGCTGGCCTGGGAGGAGTGGGTTCAGGGACCTCAGCCGCGTGGGCTCCAGATGCTGGCCGGGCTGGTGGGTCTGTGTGAGGTGACTGACTGTCCCTGACCACAGCGCTCCTGCCGTTAGGGCACTCTCATCTGTGTGCCACTGCGTCACTGTAAGCAGTGTCAGCAGCTGTCAGGGGGTCTGAAAACATCCCTCTTGGCAGAATAGCAAAGCTCTTGGTCAGCTGGAACAGAGAGGTTGATGGAGAAATGCAGCTATCATCTGTTGATGCTTTAAAAGAAGCCAACATGAAAACACTTGGTGAGGATGTGTGTAGAGCTATCTGGGGCTGTTGAATTGCTGTCTGCCAAAGGGCAGATAACAAATATTTGTTCTTTGGTTGATGCATTGTCTTACCTGTGTATTTTCCTGGTCCCTAGGAAGCTACTTTGCCAGAGATGCCCGTTATGCTCATGATTACAGTTCCTCTAAGAGTGGTCGCTACAGCATGTTTGTAGCTCAGGTTCTTGTTGGAGAATTTGTTCAGGGACAATCTGAGTACCTTCGTCCTCCACCCAGACCCAGCAGTCCCAACAGGCTTTACGACAGCTGCGTGGATGATCCAGAAGACCCTTCAATTTTTGTCATCTTTGAGAAGTACCAGATTTACCCTGCCTATATTTTGGAGTACTGCATTGAATCTTCATGTGTGATTCTGTAGTGAATGGCACTACACTAATGGCAGTGAATTTTCACTGAAACAATAATCAATAGATATATTTTTTTTTTCATATTTGTACAAGTTTAGAACTTGCTAATGTCAAAATTTCCTTTGAGAAGCTAGAGAACATTTTGTCATGCAGCAAACCAATGTCAATCCCCTGTGGGATTTTGGGGCATAGTTTTTGTTGGTCTGAAGAAAAGGAAACTGCACAGAGGAGAGGATGGATGCAAAAATGCAGAGAGGAGTTTGGAAGAAAAGGAGTTTTCTGAATGCGTAAAAATTATTTTTGACTGTGGGGGGAGTTCACAGAGCCTTCAGCAATTAGGTGCCAGATTCTTCATTTAGAAGATCAGGCAGGGGTCTGGTGGGTGCTGCTCTAAGGGTGCACTGCGATGTGTGACTGCTGAGGTGTAGCTGTTTTTAACTTTGCGTGGGCTGGACTACCAGATCTGAAGCAGAAGCACTCCTTGAGAAGCCCACGTTATTTCAGGGTCACTGCACAATCCTCAGTTCATGTCACTGCTAGATGGAACCGTCCCACCTCTGGGTGTGGGTTGCTGCTCTTCTCCCAGTGCTACTGCTGATGACTGTACTAGGGTGGGCAGGATCAGATGTAGAGCATTCATCTACTTGAAAACTGACTTAGTCAAAAAGCCAACCAAACAACCCAACCCAACAACAACAACAACAACAACAAAAAAAACAAACAAACACAATAAAGCACAGAACCAACAACTGCAAACCCAAAATACCAGCGAGGACAGTTCCCAGCTTTGCTTGTGCCAACCCAATAAAGAGGGGGTAGGCTGCACCGCAGTCTTTGGCAAAAGGTGATACTGAACCTACAGCCCAATCAGGGCTTTGAATGGTAAAATGTTGGGGAATATCTTAGTGAGTTGTTGAGACATGAGATCACTACTGAAAGTGAAAAGCAGCTTCATCAGTGAGTACTTCTTCATGGGGATTTAGCTTGATATCATAGATCTGCTAAAATGTCCCGTGAACCTGAACTTACTGCTACCTTGGGAGCACCTGTGCACCTCCCAGGTTCTGCAGCTGTGAACAAAAGCATTCCTGAGCACCCTTTCAGGTGAGAAATGCTTGCAAACAGGCAGCAACACGTGCCATTGTCAGCAGGCACTGAGCATGGATCTGACAGATACATGAGCTTTTCTTTTTCCCCCAAGGGGAAAAAGTGTGAGTTCTCTACCCTGTCAAGAATGGATTAAATAACTTCTGACTCAGACACATGTGACTGACAGCTTCAGAGTCACTGAGGTGGTGGTGGAGAAGGTCCAACGGAGGAATGCTGTGAGTAGCCAGGCTGCTTTCTGTGGAGCTCACTGCTCTCTGTGCCAGCCTGAGAGGTGCTGGGTGGGCAGGTGTTGGAGTGGGCTTGTCCCTGAGCATCCACAGTGTGTGGAGCTCATTCTATTGACGGGTACAGAGGACACCTCCTCTCAGCATGGGATGAAATGATCAGTTGGATCACGACTAATGACTGCTGCACCTTTCCAATACGTTGCCTGCTTTCAGGGTGCTGTTAAAGTGCTTTATCTGTATCTAATGGGGAGGTTTAGGGAGCGCGGCAGCTGCAGAACACCCAAGGGAGAGGGCCATGCTAAGAGGTCAGCCCCCTGCTCAGGAGTCCCCAGATAGGAAATTTTAGTGTTTAAAAAAATAGAAAAAAAATCCTAACACACACTCACAAAACACTCCCTCTGTGTGTGAAAGACGAAGCAGGGTATTGGCAACTTCTCTTGTCATTCCTTTAGCAATTGTCTCGCAGGAACCAGCAGCAATCTCAGAAGAATCAATTATGTTTTGCACTTAAATAAATAATGCATTACTTCCACATACTGAGACGTACCTAATTTTCTCTTGCAAAGATGTTAGCTCAAGCGGTCTTTTCATCGTAATTTATTTCTAATTGATTTCCTGGTGGTGGTGCTCTAAGGTCTTTGTAGTGTAGTCCCTGGTTTTAATGTTGTTGGTTACATAGTCATGCACCTGTTTCAGGCTTTCTATTAAATAACATCTCAGCAAGTTTTCAGGCTTTCTTTTAATTTACTCATGCCAAGTTTGACTTTTCAGCATTTTTTAAGAATCCTTTTAACAACTTTGACAAAATTTATTACAGGCTGATTAGACTGTACAAACCTAACGCTTGATGGAAGGTGCTGAATGGCATGTTGTTTTTCAAAGCACTTAAACTCCTAAAAATCAAACTGAACCCCAAAACCTGTAAGAAAACACAGATATTGTTCTTGTTGTAACGTGCTCAATAATTAAATTTATCAAAGCTGTTTCTGGACTGAGGCAATAACAATCCATAATTAGCATGTGGTTGTGGTAATGATGTGGGACCGAGGGCTTGTGGGGAGGGCAGGGTCCTCAGCTCGGGGCTACAGGAGGTAGATCATCAGGAATCAGGCTTTCACTGCCCAGGGAACAACCTCTTCCAATTGCTCCTATTCTTTTGTTGTCATGCTTCTTTTGGGGAAGCCTGTTGTCTGCTGTATTGAGCCCTAGACACAGTTTTCCAAACCAATTTGAACTATCTTTTCAAGATTACTTTTACATCTAGCCTACAAATACAAGGAATAGGGAAGGCTAACCTGGATCATATCCATCTGTTCTGAATAAGCTTAGATTTTCCTTCCAGATGCTTTGCTGCAGTGTCAAAGGAGCCATTAATCAGTGTGCCAGAGCTCAACCTGAAAATACCTGGCAAGCATCTACATATAATATTCTAACCACTGGAGGAAGCTGTGTCTTTACTCATTCCCAAAGAGCAGCATTATATCACTGTGTGTTCTCTGAATCATTTCTCTTGGGCTGTTTCTGCAGCTTCAGTTTCCTTAAATTCTTTTTCAAAATTGATTTCCCTTTGCCGTGTCCAAAAAGGATGTTAGAAGTCACATTGGTCTCTGTTTTCTTTAACGCTTTGTGCACTCTTTCAGTCTTGCTTCCTGTAAGTTCCTATCTTCACATAACTAATTTGATTGAAAGTTCTTACATAATCGCTTGAAAACCACTTCCTTTTTTGGGGGGGGTCACACTGAGCAACTCAAGTTCCTTCCAATGCTCTTCATATTTCTTTAGTATAGTCTTAGATGTGATTTGTTTCAATGCACAAAACTGTAGGCTACTAACCAAACCTCAACCTTGTGACAGCACTGTCAAAAATGTATTTTTTTTCCATCAGGGCTTCCTCCAGTTGCTGCTGTTTCTGTACTGTCTGAGTAACTCCATGGGTGTGTTCTGCTCACCTGTTTTTTTTTTTTTTTTGTTTGTTTGTTTGTTTGTTTCCTCCTCCTTCCTTCTCAGATCAATTTTTGGAACTATTTTCCTTTTTTTCTTCAACTTCTATTTCTTTTTGTTCCTGTTAACCCATGGTATCTAGGAAGTTTTCTGAGATATACCTAATGAGACACTCACAGGTAAATAAAAAACTTAATTACATAGCAGCTGGAGAGGCAATTAGCAGGTGCCTTATCTATCTAAATGCTATCACCTGAGATAAAAATCAACGGAATTCTGTAATGACTCTGACTGTGAATACATGAAGATTTTGGAGGTGCTGCACATCGTGGGTAGCAGCTCCTTTCAGTAGGCAGTGTAAGAGACATGGACTTTGTAGATAGGTGATCTATTCCATCATCTGCTGAGGTTTTGCTGATGAACCCAGGGAGAATCAGCAATACTGACTTCTACAATTGAAACATTGGTAAGAACCAAATAACACTATTGCCACCTACCCAGCATCAGGTGTCTGCTCACATACCAGGGGGCTGATACACTCACACAGCAGAAAATGGCACGTCTGGGTTCAAGCACAGGAAAAGATAAAGGTTCAGGATTTGTTCTTTTCCCTGAGGATTCAGAAACCAGACAATTTTCAGGGCTATGAAATAATAACATGTCTAGGAATTCCTCTTGACACTGCTTTGAAACAACCTGCCAGAAGCTGATCTTTTCTTCCCCCATTCCTCCTCCTTTACATTTTTTTTTTTTCTTTTTTCCCCTCCAGTCAGTTCTGCACTTTTTGGCTGTTCCTTCAGCTCATTCAGTGGCACTGAGACCCACTGGTATTGGCCAGATGATTCCCTGCAGTGGATTGAGGATGGGAAGCAGGTGAACTCCACAGCAGCCCTGACACCCTGCTCCAAGTCCTATCCACTAGTGGGAACAACTGCTTCAAATTTTATTTTGTTTTTGGTGAGGACCACCTGTAAGGTGGCAGAAAATCTTTCTCCATATTTCTGCATTGCTGACCAACCCTTGTATTTTCACTGATGCTCTCAGGAGAGCTCCTGAATGCCACCTCTAAGCACAGCTGCATGTCCTAGGAGTGGCTAAGATAATTATTGAGGCTATGAGGCTGTGTTTTTTTTTTTTTTTTTTTTTTTTTTCTCTGTACACACATACAAACACCACATGTGTATATACATTATATGCATATTTTGGGCACGGTATGTCACAACTCACTAAGAAGCCAAAAAACTTGGATTCAGAAAGTCGCTTCTCTAGGACACAGTGTCACACTATTCTGACTATTAAATACATTTCGGATGTTATGCTGAACATTTACAAAGACCCCATTATGAGTATTCAATGTCAATTGCCTGTAATAGGTACTACCACTTCAGTCATTTCTGTAGCATTCAACCTGTGCTGCAGCCATGGTGACACCTGCCCAGGAGGAGACGGTGTATCAAGCAGATCAGGATGGCACTCTGAAACTTCAAGTTTGTTCACAGAAGTAGGACATAAATTTTAAGGGTAAGATTCTTACTCATTTGTAATTTAATACATGTCTCTCTCCTCAATGTGCCTCGTGGAGCTCTATGACCAACAGAAGTGTCTGTCCCAGCCAGAAGGAAAATACATCTTCAAAAGCATTCACTATAAAATTAGTTGTGTGAATTGGGAAAGTACAGGAGATGTTGCTTATGTCTGACAGAGCACGAAATGGGGGAGAAATAATAATAATAAAATCTAATTCTTTTGTTTTAATTTGTGATTTGATTGCTGGAGCTATTGGACGGGAATACAGTTAAAAGATTAGAAAAATAAAGTCATGGTATTCAACAAAAAGAAAAGCAAAAGCATTAGGATAGTAGTTTGAAACCAAAACCTAGGAGTGGCATTGCAAGAGCTCAAAACTCACTGTGTGATGGGTTCAAAACAGGAGCCATTACAGGTGGCCAAGTGGGCATGTGTGCACTGCTCATGCTGCCAGTTCAAGCAGGAGCAACACTACAGAAAATGACCCCATGTTGTGGAGATAATAAAGTGAAGAAAGCCATTGGTAAGTTGCTGTATGGGTACATCAGTAATTTTTCATATGGACAGTGTTCCTTTCTGTATAGCAGTGGCTGAACAGGGGCATACCTAATGGTGCTAGCCTGGCTCTGGTCTCCAGCAGCAATAGGTGCTGGATCCTTGGAAAAGAGGATGAGCAATAAGTAGTGATGCATCCCTTGCTGCCAGGGATGTGCAGCTCAGGGACTTCCTAATTCACTGATTATAACTAAATAACACCTTTGTCTTTAATGGCCCTCAGTGGATTTCTTCTCTTCTCTGGGTTTCTTAAGTTTTTCCTGACATGTTGCAAACCTCTAGCACCTGCATTGCGTTGCAGCAGTGGGATCTGCAGTTGAGCTAAGCGTTTATTGAAAAACTGCTCTGCTTCTGCGTGCCTTTATGTTTTCTTTCAAGATATTTTCCAGAGAAATCTGAAAATGCAGATGACAAGAAAAATCTGCCAGTGGCTGGAGAATGAGTCTAGCAGAGGTTGGAATCAGATGGAGGAAAAGTGCAGGGTGCTAAGTTCAGGGTTGCTGTGTCTCCAGGTGATGAAACCCACACCTAGCTTTTAGGGCCTGCTGGGAAGAGGACAGTGGAGGCTATAGAGGTGAGGCCCTCAGGTCCATCCTTCTTGCTCAGGGTCAGTAATTTTGGGGGATTGGCCCAATTTAGGGTCTGTGAGGTAGGGGCACCACAATGCACTGGTGCTTGTCCATGGTCAGTACAAGAAACTGTTGGTATGGGCTGGACAACTTGAACCAGTGGCAGGAACATGGAGAGGAGGTAAGCACCTCGTGCCAGCCTCTCCTCAGGGGCTGCCGCTTCTTCTGCTCTTTGCAAGCTTATCTCAGGTACTGGGTAGTGCAAGCTCATCTCGGGTATTGTACGGCCTCCCCACAGCTCAAGTGCATTTTGACTTACTCAGCACCTCTCGTGATTTTACTTAAATCCCTCAGGACCCTCTGAGGTCTAAGCCTGAGCACTGTTTATTTTCTTGGCTGAACCAGAACCTTTCAGAATTGCTTTCATCTAAACAGCATTTTTGCTGTGTGCGCATCTGGGAGGGAAGTGCGTTTTTCTTTGGGAGATGCTAATAAACCACTGACGAAGAGTGCCAGAAAGCGATCCCATGCGCTGACAAAGAACAATAGGAAGACACAACCATTTTGGAAGCTGTGGCAGTGTCCTCCAGCCACAGGTGGAAGGGCTCAGGAGGGGGTGGTGGACCCCATTGGTAGGCCATGCCAACAGGCCTGGTCCATGCGTGTTGTGCTGGGAACAAGTAGGGGGAGAGTCCAGCAAACAGCTTCTGGTGGGTGTTGGGGTTAGGGCTGGGGAAGGCCTCTGCACTGGGGAACTCCAGGTCGTAGGCAATTAACCCTGGTTGGCAAACAAAATGCAGCTCTGTGGGCTCCTTAACACGCAGCTGTCTTCCAGTGCATATTTTCCTTCCCTTTTCTAATCCCCAACAACTGTGCTGTAACCTCTGCCCAGATGGAGAAGGCATTTCAGGCCAAACAGAAAGTCGCTCTGCTGTTTCAAGCAGGATCTCAGCAGTACGAGAGCAGTACCGGTGGGGTGCGGCGTGATAGGAGAGGCAAGGTTGTCTGTGGTGGAGGCTGCAGGGTTGTCAGGAATACCAGAAGCTGATCTGCCTTCTTCATTGCCCACAGACATACTTCTGTGCTCTGTCTATTGCTGATGAATAGAAAGCTGCTGGTACTGGCAACGCAACCATTGTATTGAATGAGGTGAGCATCCCCCTCTCATGCCCAACACCCTAGGCCATTTGCTCCCTTCCACCTGGCTGCTTCCCCCAAAGTGAAGGAAAGGTTGTGGTACATCAGGACAGGAGCTACATCTAGTCCCAGAGCCCATCCCCTCCACAGGGTGACAGGTGTCCACAGAAAAACATAAGTTCGAGGCAGGCATGTAGCCATACCCCCCCCCCAAATGCTCTACCTGCCTCTAGCAATTTTTATCTCGAGGATCTCCTGCATCAAGAATTGGTATCTATATGTATTAAGCCTGGATGCATTCCTCCTTCAGTAATTATACCATTGTTTTTTAAACCTGTGTAAACCTTTAGCATCTGTTACAACTTGTGGCAAGTATTCCCACAGCTGAAATGAATGTTTGAAGGAGGAGCTCCTTTTCCTTGCTCTGAACTCATCACATGCTAGCTTTATTTAATGGGTGAAGCTAGGATGTACTCCCACTGCTTGCTTGGTCACCTCAAAAGTTTCTGTAAGGTTTGGTGATTTTCCTCAATGCTCCTTAGAAAACCAGCTCTGAAAACAGGCTGCCTTTACAGGTGGCTGTGGGATTTGATGAAAATTCAAAAGTTCTGGGCATGTGAGAAAGGTCTGCTTTCCGCGTACTTCTGCTGAAAGAAGCAAGTGAAAACCACCTGTTTTACCCATCAAGGCATGTGGGAGCCATCCCCTTCAATAATCTTTCTTAGAAATAACTTGGGAGCCTGTAATCTCACTTCCTCCTTCCAGGGAGCCCCTGTTCCCTCACCAGAGGGCAGAGGAGGGTGAGGAGCTGCCAAGAGTGAGGTGGGTGGCACTGCACAGGGGAGGTGTGGGGAGGTGATGTGTGTGGATGATCAGAGTGCACAGTCCCTAGAGAGGGGAGACCCTCTGATCTGCAGCCTGGTAAGCCTCCGACCTGCAGCGGCTGGTAAAGACAGGAGGGAGATCCTGCTGGGGCACAGTGATGAGTCCACCATCTGATGGGCCTATATCATTTGCTCTTCCCCTTGACTTGCACACACAGATGTGAAATCCAGCTCTGCTGAGTGTGCTACAAAAGCCATTGCTAACAAAAATCCCTCTCCTTTGTAGCATCCAGAGCAGGGTCCTGCCTCTATGACTTCTGCAGATGTGGAGCAGTGGTTTCAAACTCATCAGGAGGGTCCTTTTGAATTTCGAGTTGGTTCACAGAAACACAAGAGAGATTTCAAAGGTAAAAGATCCATGTGCTTAACTCGACGTATTTACAGGGCTAACTGTCATGCAGCTCCAAAATGTCCTTATAGTACTTTTATGCTTGGATGCAAAAGCAACGAGGGCACATTTCATGTAGTACAAGCAGCTGGTCTTAGTGCAAGAGGAAGGGGAAAGAAGTAAAATATAAAATAGAGAAAATTGAAGCTTTTTTTTTTTTTTTTCAGGCAATTGAATTGGGGGTGGCTCTGATCTAAACAGAGAGCCATTTTACAGTAATGTCTCTGTCTCCTTGATGTTACAACATCCTGTATTGAGATTGTAAATATGGGAAGCTTTTTTATATATTTACAGTCAGGAAATAAGGGACTGAAAGATGTAAGTATAATCAGGGCTTTTCCTAGTAGAAGAAAAACAAATTAAAAAAACAACCAAACAACAAAAAAACACCCTGCAAGCTTCTGTGGCCACTACCTTGGGAGAGAGGAGGGAAGGTTGTGGTCACCAACAAGGTGTGGAGGATGTGTACACCTTCCACATCAGTCTGAGGGAGCAAGAGGTGTAGCAGAAAGCTATCCCCTCTCCTGTGTGAGGCCGGAGAAAGGGCATGGCTACTCTGGTGGACTTGTCCAACAGCTGGACAAAGAGGAGTTTGTCCAACATCTCTCACAAGTGAGCTGTGAGTTAGCACTCGGGAGGTGGCTGAGCACCATCGCTGTAGCTCATGCTGGGTTTATACTCCAGTTGAGTGAAATGAGGCACAGTCAAAAAGATGTCCACAAACCTTTCAAAACTTTCACAGGCAACACTTAAGCACCTGTGAGCATTTACCCTCTGCTGTTGCATGAGATCAGAGAGGAGAGGGGCCCTACTTTCAGCACCACAAGATGACCCAGTTCTGGTTGGAAGCCAGCTTAGCAACCTCCAGGTATCAGTGGTTTTGGAGGCACATTCTATGTGAAGGGAAGAAAAGGTGAAATTGGGTGGTGATGGTGATCAGCTCCTCAGTTAGCTGCTACAATGTGAATTCCCTGCGCAGATGTCTTCTGAGTGACAGCAAAATGCCCAAAGCAGAAATGGCAGGGAGCAGAGGAGAGGCTCGATGCAGGAGAGCAGCGTGTGCAAGGCTAATCCCATTGCATTGCACAATGACATCTGCTCTCCTGGGCAGTGTTCCCAGATGGCAAAGGTCTCCTCTCTCATTCTTGATGCATTTGTCTTCTCTTTCACTAAATTGTCCAGTGAAATCTGAATGCTCACACTGAGGTAAAAAATCTGCAGAAGTTTGAGCGCTGCAAGCAGTGGCACAGGACAAGGTAAGGCATGGGATGTTAGGCTCGTTATTTTCCTGGCTCTGGCATGCACACTGCAAGGAGAACACATCAGGAGAAATCCCAGTGGCAGGGCAGTTTTCCACTTTCTGCTTATGTGAAGTTATGTGGGTGTTCAAGTAAATCTGATGGAGACAGAAAAACCTTACCATAAGGGTGTTTCTAGGGTGTCTTTGCACGTTCTTCAGTCAAGGCTGGTACTGGTGACTATGTGAAACAGTGTCCTACCCAGGCCTGCAGAGCCTTACAGCCTGGGGAAGATGCACCTTTGACCTACCACACAGCCCAGTAGTGATCTGGGAAGCTCAGGGAAGAAGGCTGACATCCTGATCTGTGGATGCTTTAGCTTGGAGCAGGAGAAAGAGCATGACTGGAAGAATGGAGATGTCAGGGGAAGCACAAGGTTGTTGGAAAAGGGATGGGCGGTCTTTAGCAGTCAGCACAAATAAGAGAAATGGGAAAGAAGCAAATGCTCTGGGAAAAAAAAAAGAAAAAAAAAAGAACACAAGCTAGCAGTGTGCACAGGTTCAGTAGGCCAGTGGTATCCTGGCCTGCATCAGCAGTGTGGCCAGCAGGATGAGGGAGGTGACTGTCCCTCCTTGGCATGGAGGGATTGTACCTCAAATATTGTCTTCAGCTTTGGGCCCCGCACCCAAGGGGGTTGGGTTGCTTGAGAATGTGCAGAGAAGAGCAATGAAGCTGGTGAAGGGAGACTAGAAAATTAGTTGTGAGGGGTGGTTGAGGGAACGGGCTGTTTAGTCTGGAGAAGAGGAGCCTGAGGGGAGGCCCCATCAATTTCTGGAATGGGCTGCCTGGGGAAGTAGTGGAGGTCCCCATCCCTGAAAGTGTATAAGAAATGTGTGGAAGTGGCACTAAGGGACATGGTTTAGTGATGGGACTCAGTAGGTCAGGTTGATGGTTGCTCTTGATGACCTCAAAGGTCTTTTCCAACCTAAATGATTCTCTGAAAAGAGAGATGTTGATAATCTGATGGGTTTTAGTGGCCTTGTCCTTCTCTGGTTTCCTTCCTAATAGGTAGAATTTTAGCAGTTCTGCCCTAGGCATCTAGGTAAAATCAGGAAAATGAGAGTTTTGATGGTTACCTAGGGTCTCAGCAGGTGCTATGTGAACTGTCTGGGCCACTGCATGTATTCATCTGTATCTTATTGGCAGAAAAGGCCAATATGGCTTGGCAATGGTAGGAGAGGTGAGACAGGAATTCTGCTTCTAGAGCTGTCCTTCAGATGGGACTATGTTAGAGTATTGTTAAATATGTTTTTAAGCATGTGGCTGACCAAGGAAGGAAAAGGCTTGTTGAAAGCATTTTGTGACGTATCTTGGTGCAGTGCATTGCTATAACATACGTGGAAGGTCTCTTCTTGCAGCTCATGTTAGCAAGGGAGAAGAGTTTATGTAAAATACAGAGATGCTTTTTTTTTTCTGAGGTATCCTGAAGGGTAGTTTACATCTCATGACCAGGAAACTGTTTCATAGAAGTCTCTTGAGTCTGCTAATCTTGTTTAAACCTGTTTTAAGCAGGCAATCAGATGCTGCTGACACATGTCATCTGCTTCTGTCAGACTGGGACCATTCAGCCCTGCCTGAAATAGGATATGAGGTATATAACTTTTCACATCTGTTCGCTCCTTTGGGAAAAGTAATAGTCTGCAACGGCTTGTGTTGTGCAAATCTAAAATACATGCTCAAGTCCATGTGCTGGTTTTGTTAGTTTTTAACCTGCAAATGTGTCACTTTAAAACGTACAGTGACAAAAGGAACAAGGATGACTGTGTAGAAGAGATTCCCAGGGGACACAGGTTTCGTTAAGATTGTCCATTGCACATGTGATGCACCATGGCATTGTACATCTAAAAGGTCAGTGCACAGAAATGTTGCTTTATCCATAGTGCTTTTGATTTGACCTAGATGACAGCTGATGGTCTGGAGGTTGAGCCTCAGTGCTCCCTATTCACAGGACTCTTTCTCGTTTACAGCTCAGTCACGCTCTAGAATTTCAAGTCAAAGCATGTGCTTTAGGGGGATCATCAACTCATTTAGTATTGCTATAATGAGATTTAGATCTTGTGTATTTTTGAAACACCAGGCAGTGCGATTATAAATAAAGCTGTCTTGATGACTCACTACAGTAACATTAGGGCTCCTGTAAACAGAGGAGTTAGTGCGCATGTAAGGTAAGTGTGCACTTGGTATCGAAGAACAATTCCACCTTCTTTCTCTTTTCTAGCTGGGAACCTATTCTGAACCCCCTAGTGTCTTTGCACAGCTTTGCTTCAGCTTGCTTAGGACTACAGATGCTCTCTGGGCAGAAAAAATGTGCTCCACAGAGAGCAATAGCTCCTTTGTATTACAGACAAGCCCTTGGAGTAAGAGCTTCGAGCACATTGGGACAGGAGTGAGAGTGAGGGAAGGATTGTGAATAAGTGAGAGGAAAAAAAATCCCATCCTGTGGTTGCACCCAGGTCCTCTGGGAGGGGTCACCCAAATTGTTGTAACATGTTGGTCTCAGTTGTCGTAACTTTTCTTCAGCTGGTAGAAGCGAGTCACACTGATGGCAAATACAGGGAAGTCAAGGACATATTTCAGCAGACAGTGAAGGATTACAGAGTCTGCAGGCTGCAGAGGTCCTGAACCTCAGAGGTCTGAACTGTTGTGGGCATGGGAGTGTTCCCTGTGAGTGGGCTGCTCCCCTTCCGTGATTTATGATGAGGAAATAACCCATTCCACAAATGGAAAGGGGAACAGCAAAAAGGTTGGGGCCCTGTGGAATTAGACCTAGAATTTATGTGAAATTTATGTTTTGATTAGGAAACCCCAGCAACTTAAGAGATTTTTTATTATAGAGATGGCTTTTATAAACCTGGGGTTTAGATTTGGGGCACACGCAAATCTTGTAACTCTGTCTTTACATAAGCTATTTTAAAACCATTCAGTTCTATGACCTTTTTTTTTTAGGAAAAAACAACAACCCCAGGCATTATAAGCTTGGGTTGTACATGACCTCCCTGTTGGGAGAACAACGTGGGGAAATGTTTTCTTTGCTGTTTGGTTTCTCACAACTACAATGTTCCCATTCAAAATGGAGAAGGCCAGACTTTTATTTTCACATGAAATCTGAGAGGTTGATTGACCGCAGCCGGAGGAGTGGGTGGACTGCTTCCCCAGGATATGGGAGACCTACACTTAATCCTAAACTTGAACTGAACCTAAGTCTCCCTGTTTTTGGTGTCTGCTCTTATCATTTCACAAATGGAGTATGGGATAGGGTCACTTGGGCTGGAGTACAGTAACCAGAGCTAATCTGAGTCTGAGGTTTTCCAAGGAAAAACAGCACCAAAACTGAATGTCTGTGCAAAAAAACAGTGGTTCCAGTTGGCATTAGCATTTCCCACCAATTCAGCAAAAAACCTAGTCAACACTCTGGTGGAGTGTGCTCTTTGTCTTGTAGGTGTAGCATTTCCTTGTGGTAAGCATTGCCATGACTGAACAGAACATCAGAAATTAGTAGATGGATTTGATTTAATGGTCAGTGAGGGGATGGATTTAGTTGGTTAAATGAATTTTACCCCCCCAGATAGAGAGAGGAACTGAAAACTTTTCAACCTAAACAAGAGACTACTTCAGTTCTTCTCTGAGACTAGATATACTGAATTTGTAGCAAATGTGGTTGGCTTAACGGCCAGTATTTTATAAGAAAAATCAAAGTCTGAGACCAAAACCTAGTGTGCTCTCTGTTAGGAATTAGAGTTCAAGGCTGCAGAGAGAGAGTGCACTGTTTGGCTTGTGATCTGTTGTCTTTATCCATATATGAGGTGTGAATAGCAGCAATTATTTATATCAGAAATTCAGTTTTCTTTTTCTGGGTCTCTTTGCCCTCACCAAGACAACCTTGCATTTCTGAAATATCTCCTGTTATAACTAGCAAAGTTTCCTTTAAAAATATGAAGTGCAGTGGGAATATTTCTGTTTATGATGGCACAGAGGTTCCTCTTCCAGCTCAAAATGTTCTTGGTTCATCACTGGTGTTGCAAGAAAGAAGGTCTTAGACACTTTTCTTAGGATGGAGGCCAGGGAAAAGCATGACAGGGGAAAATCATCTAACACATTAGTTATCTTGGCCTTCCTATCACTGATGTGATCAGAAAAGAAGAAAACAAAACTTTTTGACGGCCGTCTAAGGATTAAGCCATCAGTCCCAGTCATCTGGGTGTTCTGGCTTGACTGGTATTTTGGTATAAAGCCATAATCTGCTCAGATTATTTTCACAAAAGAGCCATGTCCCTTCCCCTTTTTTAATGGAGATTTGCAAAGACAGTACTGAACAGAAATTATCTGTGGGCATTGGTCCTACATGTCTTCCTTGGCGTGCTGGAAAACACCATCCAGTTTGATTTCAGATGAAAGGCTTTGTTCTGGCATGTGATAGAGGGACAAGAAAAAAAGGATCTTAGCTCAGATCCTCTGCCTCATCTGATTTCAAACGTCACGGGGCTCTGGTTTGGTCAGGTACACAGAGATTTGCTGGTAAGACCAAGGCAATGCTCCCATGTGTGCTCTGTGCATGTTTTCCATTGTGCATGTGGGTCATATGGTCACAACATTTTTTGTTCTATCCTCCAAATTATTTGGATCTGAGCATGATTTGGGTGATGAAGGCAGGAGATACATAAAAAGAAGTGTTTGTGCATGTTATATGCATATACTAAATATATTTTCTCTAGGCAGAAGAGCACATGAAAAAAGAGAAGCTCAGGACAGGGCTGGATGAGTGGCTCCTCTTCCATGGGATGAATCCATCCCACGTGCCTGCCATCTGCGAGCAGAATTTCAACTGGAGGATCTGTGGCACTCATGGGACAATGCATGGAAAAGGTACAAGCACGTGGGCTGGACCTGCATCGAAACTCCCAGGGCATTTCTAGAGCTCAGGGAAGGGCTCAGCACAAGCTGCACTTCCTACTGTGTGGGCCTGATTCTATTTCCTCAGACCTTTTATAACCAGTGAACCAGAAAAAGCAGTGGTGAAAGCTGCCAGATCAGCCCTGTCTATTGATTCTTTAAAATAAACCGATGGGGAAACATCTGGTAAGGATGTGTTCAGAGCTACCTGTGGGAGGAAGGAGGACAAGGTGCTTGTTGAGTTGTTGGCTGCCAGAATGTCGATAGCAGATGTTTGCTGCTTTGGTTTAAGCATCTTCTTATTTATGGCTTTTTCTGTTCCCTAGAGAGATGCCAGTTGCTCTCATCAGTACTGCCCATCCAGCACCAGCTACCAGTGTGTTTGTAGCTCTAGCTGTCGTCGGAGACTTTGATCATGGCAACAAGGCCTACCTTTGCCCTCCACCTAGACCTGAGATTTCAAACAGACTTTTGGACAGCTGTGTAGATGATCAAAAAAATCCTTCAATTTTTGTCATCTTTGAGAAGAACCAGATTTATCCTGCCTGTATCCTGGAGTATACTTGTAGGGTGCTGTCAGAGGTAATGATAGCTTGTCTGAACCATATGAACCACACTTGAACCATATGTGTTGTTTTTTTTTTTCAACTCTATGTTGCCTGTAGGTACCTCGTAGGTGACTTTGTTACACTGCATTTCTGTTTCAGTTGCAAGAGTGAAACTACAAGAATGGTGACCTGTGGAATGGCTGGGTCCTCTATGAGTGTTGTTTTCCTCCTAAACAGACTGGTGGCAGTTAAATTGTAGTAAATAATATAACCATGACAATGTGATGATGATTTGGATGCAAGTGTGATGTAAATTTAAATGTGTGTTATGATTAATTTATAAAACTAATTGCTTCCATGTACAACATGGTATATAACTAGATGTTATTTAGGACATGCTTGGGGAAATGAATGCAGAAAACAGGGAAAATGGAGTATAAAAAAGCATGTTTGAGAAGTGACTCGCTGGAGTTGTTTATCCACAGAGTGAAGATCATCAGCATCTTGTCATTGTAGGAAAAGTAGACAATGGGCTCTGAGCTGTTTTTGTCCTGTGGTTTGGCTGCTTTGAGTTTTGTGGCAAGAAAAGGCTTTTAGATCATATCCTAAAGGAGAGTTACATCATGTTCCCTAATTTCTCTGCTGGTCCCATTTGGTTATCTTGCACTAAGAGTCAGAAGGGCTCCAATTCAGACAGGAAAATAAAAATTCCTGGATAACAAAGAAGCAAGTGATTCATTGGCCTTCCTCAGTTTGCCTTCACTGTTGCTAAAGCTGGAGTAGGCAACATACCAGGCAGCTTGTGAAGGAACCCATTTTCACTTAGCACCTCCGAGAGAAAGGGTAGCTGCCACAGGCTATTCTGAAGTCCAGTCATACCACAAATCAGAACAACAGTAATTTCCTGCTCCTCTAGAAAGAGCTAAGTTGTTATTTTGAGCTGTTTGTGCCCTCCCGGACTGCAGGCTGGGCTGGGTGCCGCTTTAAGGGGATTACACAACCTCCCCAAACTCAGAGGAGGCGTGTAAAAGGTTCCCTGGATTCACACCAGGATGTCGTAGTGGATTTCTACCCTGTGTTGCCACATAGGTGTACAGAAGCCTGCTATGTGCCTGGCTGTCCTGTGCTGATGGCAGCGCTGGCACGTTTGGGTGTTAAACCAGGGCTGGGGGAGAGCAGAGGGGTGGTGCCATCTGAGACAGATGTTGCTCAGTTTTTGCTCTGGGTGAGGGATGATCAGGCTCTCCCATGCTTGTGTGGGAATTGTAGGATGAGGAGAGCTCCAGCAGGTCCACAAAACAAACAAACAAACAAACAAAAAAAACAGGAGGTGAAGGATGCATTGGAAGGGGTGACATGTCCAGCTAGTATTAAGACTTTTCTTTTATCTCTCTCTCTATCTCTCCAATAATCAGCCTACCAAATCCAGACCTTTTCAGTTTCCCTCAAGCCACCAGTACTGCTGGGTGTTGTTGGGATTTGCTGGGATGTAGGTGCTTTTCATTAAGGGGCTATCAAATCTCATATTCTGTGACCCTGAAGCATTCCTGTAGCGAAACGTGGTTAAATTAATTCCACTGATAAAACCTGGCATATGAATTTTGTCTCTGCATAATGTTCTGAGGGTCCCATTTTATTGAATCACTAGTTTCTGATTCAGGGGTGGAGGTGCACATGTGTGGGGGCGTCCGAGAGGGCCTCTTGCCATGGCTGGGTACAAACATTTGCTCTGTAATGCAGAACACCCCTACGGGTTTCAAATGAGCTACTTCCTGACTCCGACTGCTCATAGACATTGGAGTCTGCCGCTATACTTTTTGTGGAAACCACATATCCGATTCCCAGTTTAACAAAGACACCCTGCATCAACAGGCTTGTAACAGAGCAAACACTGTTAGTTAAATCACATACAGGTAAACAGCTTGCTTCCTTCCTGCTCTGTTCTTAAACCTCATAACTCAAAAGCCAGTCATCTTATTTCATATATATATATTTTTTTTTGAAGGTTAGGAAGCAGGTGACTATACTTTAGTTTCAAAAAATGCAGTTGCTTAGAGCTTTTTGCATTTTTGAATGCTTGCAGACTTGTTTGCTAACAAGTGCTGTTGGACTGAATGCAGTGCCTTTTCTTGCTGTTTGCTGTGTGTCTTCCTCAGCGCTCCAGCAAGCTTTCACCTCAGGGCTGCCACCATGAAAGCACCCTGCCCCTTCAGGTGACTGAGTCTCCAGGGAAGAGCACCCTGGAGCACTGTGCTAAATTTACTCTTATATTTCAATTCAAAAATCATATGGTAGAGGAAACTGTGACTAGAGTCCATTGAATGGCAGGAGGAAATGAAGGAGATAATGTGCTTTGACCAGTACAGGGGAATTCCTGCTAGCCATGGACAGCACCAGCTGGCTGTAGAGTATTTACTGGAAGAGGTTGTGGTGTCTGCCAAGTAGATAAGCTGATCTCTAAGCCTCCAGAAAGCTCCACGTGGCTTAAACTGAACACTTATTTACTCACCCCACAAATAAACACACTATATCGCTATACACAGGGAGAAGAGTGATAAATGTAGCTCTTTTCACTGGCTGGGATTTATAACTCTTACAGGAAGAAATGATTTTTGCTTCTTGCAGACCTAAATAAGGGTCCATAGGAAATATTCCAGTTTAGTGTTGGTAGTTGTAGGCTGCTCTGGCGATAGGAAGCAATGGCTAATTGAAACTGAATCCAAAGGTGGTTGCAAAAGGGCTGCTGGCAGTCAGGTAGTTTTCTGAAACATCAGTGTCTGCTTTCAATCTGCTTGGGCCAGGCCTTCTCATTTCTGCATTAACTCTTGCATTGAGGCTGTCCAAGTGGTCTTCTTCATGTAACAAACAGTTGCTGTAATATATCTTTCCTTAGCAATCATCATATTCCAGTGAGGTAGGAAGATTTCCTCTCTAATTGCAAAGTGTTTGAAGGAAATGCTGTTGAGAGGTGCGTTAATAGCTAGCTGCTATATCAGTGCGGAGGACAGGGTGGCAGGTTTTTGCTGGAGGAGGACTAGGTTTCTCTGGGATTAGCTCATAGATGTCATATGGGAAGGGGGGACAGCAGTATTTAAGGAAGCATGAAACTGGGTTTGTTTTTGTTTTGAATTAGAAACCAGAGGAGGAATCGAGCCTGAGGGCAAGGCTGGGGCTGCAGCTCTGGTCAGGTACTCATCCAGAAAGCCAGACCACAGTAGGGTCAGCAACATCCCTAAAGGCTGCAGAGTGCTCACAGCCAGAAATGTGGCCAAGGTTTTCGTCCTAATCAGTGACTTACGGAATGAGCTTCTTGCCCGTGCTCTTTTCCCTGGCCTCACAAAGTGGCAGAATGCTTCAGCTCCCGTAGGTATTTGATGGTTTGCAGGCATTTGATGGTTTGAGAAAGAAGGAAGGATTGCCTCACAGCTAAGTATTAAGCACTGGTTCTCGTTTTAAAACTATTTCTGGGGCAGTGCAAAGCTTGATTGCAGGCGCATCCCTTCATTGCCATTTATTTCCTGTCTTTGGCCTCAAAATAGCAGAAGTCAGTGCCCACCCAGAGCTGTGGGCACCCGCTGCCTTCCAGTCAGGTCACACACCCAGCAGCTCAAATTACGCCTGGCTCCTCGGTGACTGCTCAAGCTACCAAACGCTGTCAGCCTACTTCTGGCCATGGAAAGAATCCTCCATGGTCCGCAGACCCTCAGAGGCCCCTGTAAACATAAAGAGCTGTAATGATAGCACTTTTTTTTTTTGGAAGATGGTATGCAAAATGTTAACCTCTAACATAGACAACTGCTATACCATTTAGGACCTTCAAAACTAACTCCACTCAAAACATCCCAGCTAGAAATCCTCTTGATGTGAGAACTAGGAAAGACCTCTGTCAATACCTAAATAGCAGCTGCCAAGTCTACTCAGCCCCAGCAACATAATGTGGCAGATTCGGCTCCTCAGATGACAAAACCATGACTCAGGAGCCATGAATTGGCAGCCCAAAATAAAGGCTGCCTACCCACCATGGCCAAAAGCAAGAGGCCTTTGGCTGCTGCTGGAAGAGAGGGGAGCCAGGCTGGGTTCCCCAAACGTGGCCACACATGGATGTACCTCCCTGTCAGTGGGGGTGCAGTAAATGTCACCATCTCCCAGCTGGCCAGTGGCAGTGGGACTCCAGACAAGGTGCTAGAGAGCAAGAAAGCAGGAGCTGTGAGTCACCCAGGCTGCCATCCAGATAAATAAAAGCTGTTATGAAATGTTTGGACAATCCCCCCAAAATTGATTCCTAGTCTCATTAATAAGGGATTCTTAGGCATAAAAGGACAGGTGGCCTGATTCTGAACATTAAACAGATGTTTCGTGTAGGGAAAAGCCTCTGAGAGAGTGGTTGCTAGCATTTACTGACCATAGGATAAGAGAGGTTCCTCACCAGCTGCCACCTGCAGCCGTGGAGTTGGGAGTGTGCCACAAGGCCCATGTTGTAGTGTCACTTCTCTAGCACCGAGTATATCTTGGCAGTTCAAAATATAGCTTAAAACAATTAAAATTCCCTTTGAAATGCATATGAAAATAATAAAGGCACTTGAGGAACCAGAAAGTAAGGCAGAATGTGAAAGAATAGCAGTGGGCTTTCAGGGTTCACGTTTTGGTCTTCAAAGCAACATTTATTTATTAATTTTTTAACAACACACCTCAACCCCAAATCCAGATGGTCACCAATTCCCTAATTATCTGCTATAGCCAGGTGGGAGCCAGAATAAGGTAAAGGTAATTTAATATTATTCCTTTCTAATTTTATTAGGATTTATTGTCAAATACTTTGTTGCTTAAAATAAAATGACAACTCCAGTCCATCTTTTCATCTCAGAGAAAGTTAACTGCTCAGACCAAAATTAAGCTCCAGCAATTGAGTCTTGTGCTTTCTATTAAAGTACAATTCAAATCCATGAGCTTTATACAGAAGGGAGCAACACTAAATCCCCTTAGCACTCTGCCCCCTCAAAATCACCAGTGGGTTAGAAAACTGACTCAGATGATGGGTTTTTCACAGAAAGTTGACTCAGATGAAATCGTTAAATGTCAAAGCCTTTGTCAGGATGCTGTCTACGTGAGTAGTTCCAATTAGTTTGGTTAGTGCACTATTATAGCTTCTCATCTATCAGTATTAAAATGTAGGTGTTGACATGGCCATCCCTGATAGCACTGGCATGAAATGTTCTTTGAAGAAAAAGGGTGGATCTGCAAAATTGAAATTTACACTAGCAAATTTTAGATTTTCAACAGCTCCTGCTCCTCACTCCCCAACTCTCCCTTCAAGTTTTCAGGAAATTAGATTTTTTTTTAAAGCCTACAGTGAAGGAAAAAGAAAAAGATCTCTTGAGTCAACAAGCAATATTTAGTTGCATTGGTGCTTTTTGGTGTTTTATACAAATTTGCTTTGCCATCAAATGAGAGTTTATCAAGTGGATATATTGTAATATGAGGAAAAAACACTATCTGTTTCCCAGGAGGTGCAGGGACTATAAGGACAAACACCTAAGATAAGATAAGCAAAACAATCTAAATGTCAATATTTAGATTCTGGAAAATGTAACTTTGTCAAACACAAAAGAGTACGTTAAATGCTCCTTCAATACCTCAAATATATCCAAGCAGTATCTACTTCTTTGAAGTGCACCCCTTGGTCTGTACTGTGGTTTGGATTGGTTCACCGTTCAGAAATATTGAATATTGCCTGGAGCGGAGGCTGGGATTTGATTGAACCGTGTGTGGGGTTGATATAAATCTCAAATCCCTTTAATAGCTCTGGGATCTGATCGCAGGAGATGGTCGTAATGATCATCTGATTGTTAGTTTGCTTTTGTGAATACATTTAATTTTTTTTTTCTTCTCCCATTTTTCTAATAGGTCTGTCTGTCTTCAGTGTAAATTTCCTCTGTAACTTGTTCCTCTCTTGTGTAAGGTAAAAGGTGTCTTTTTACACAAATTTTGCTACAGCATCATTACTATCAGAAAGAAAAGAAAGAACATACGTTAAACATACATTAAGAAAAACTGTCAAAAGGCATTTGAATGTCTTACAAAAATATTGCAATTTGTTAATTATGAATTAATTTTAAACAAATTTATTTAAGTAAGTTACGAAATTGGTTTTGTTTGGTAGTAGCATATATAAATGTGGAATTCTTTAACCCTGACTGGGCAAAATACCTTTCATCTGAATAAATCAATCACTGAAATTTTTTCTCATTCTTGTAACCAGATGTTTAACAACATGCAGACCTTAATGAATGCCATGCACAAATGTTTGTCTTTATATAGCAACAAGTCTGCCTGTCAGTGAAATTGTTTCTGTTCCCCCACATTGGTCCTTGAGTTCACACTGTGCAGCCGGGGTGAGCAGATGACAGCACACAGAAATACTCCCATTTATTGAGACTGGGGATTACCATCTGGTTTTCTGCTTCTGCTAGAAACTGAGTCCTAATAATAGTAGGATGTGTGTGTGTGTGCTCAAAACAAAAACAACATGATGTCCTTTCTCCAGCTGAGCAGGTCTGATTTTTTTTTTTTTTTTTTAATTAATTGTTTTAAAACACTCAATTCCTTCTAGGA